TTATGTATTCATTATGATGTTTGGATATTATGTTTTGATTATGTAATTGATGCATAATTGTGGTGGTGTATCTTTTATTCTAAATCTTAATTCTTTACACTTTTCATTATTTATTGAACATGATTTCCATTATTTCTAAACAGTTCTTTTAATTTATATGTTTCTGTTTTTGTTTTACAACACTATCTAAACAAATAGCATGTTGTACTTATTTAGTAAGTGTGAGTGACTTGTTATTATGCACCATTTAAATGGTTAACAAAATGAATTGCAGGTGGTATATTATTAATACCACTTATATTAATAAGCTTTTCACGAAGTTATACATGTCTTGGATATACATTTCAAATTGCATCAATTGGTTTCTTTATTGCAGCTGGTAGCATCCGCATCGAGATCTTCCCCCTGAGGCTTGCGAGGGTTTTGCCTCTTGAGAAGCCCCTAGTGTTGAACACCCTCTTTTGTGAAGCTCGGGTCTTCCTCGCCATCTCAGAGGTGAGGCAACATTTTGGTGTTTCTCAACGAAAAGTGTACGGAGGATTTTTCGGGGGAGACCAAATGAATGTCGGCAGAGTTACGCGGGCAGCTTGTGCCTAAAAGCCACAATCACCCAGGGAGAACCTTTGGTACCCATCCGAAACACCAACATGGAGCCTGAAACCCACCTGTTCGTAGAGAGTAGACAGTTTCCTTCTCGGGGACCCCTCAAATCAGGTTCCGTGTTAGTTTCCAGGAGAACGGATTTTGCTAGCGGGAAGCTCTTTTTTTGCAGGAACCCCTAAAGAGGGCACCCCTCTTTCCTTCCATCTAAATCTGCGTGGAAGGCCCAGATCACAGGTGTCCTTTTCGGTTGTTTTGGTTGAACCATAGATGGCGATCCCTGGTTTGCCGGGCGGGTTTCTTCCATCCACCAGGGAAACCCATCGATTTCCAACCAAAAAGGGCCACCTATGGTTGCCGAGATGCATTTTTCCTCGCCTGGCGGCTTGGGAGGTCCTTTCAGGCTCAGCCGCCCGAAAACCCGCGCCTCGGGCCTTCTCGGCGCCCGTCGCCCGGCTTGGGCCCGTGCCCGAGATGCCTCTCGCTTGGAAGGCGTCACAAGTATGGGGCCCACTGTCCCACCCCTCTTGATGGTTGTTGCTGGAAAACATTGAAACCATCTTTGCTTGTTGTGGTTGAGTGGTTGAAATCACACCACTTAGCTGCTAAAATTTAAGTTTTTGCTCCCTTCCAACGTCAACCAAGTCTTGGTGGGTAAACATCGCCTTTGGGCAACAAGTGAGTTGGCCGTGGGTCAAGAATAGGTACCATTTCAAATGGATCCGTAAGTGAAAACATGGAGCGACACCTGCGGATTTGTGGTGGTTTAATTTTGACCCACACACAATTGTCCTTTTGGTGGGATGTTTCAAGGACAGAGAGCCCTGTACACGAGGAGTCCAGCACCATTGACCATTGGGAGCTTCAATTTGCTTCTCTTTCAATCTTTTTTGTTCGCAAGTTGGAGCTCAGTTCGAAGGCAACGCCCTTGCTCTTCTTTTTTTTTGTGGGGCAGTATTCTTCGCGATCATTTGTTTGTTTGGGGTCCTTTTCATCGGACCGCTTCCTTTTCAGGGCACCGAAACCTTTTTCCCGGCCTAGGCTTACCAGCTCGGTCCTTCCCGTGAGGGTCCTTTACTTTGGGATTCCACTTGTCTAGTTTGTACGATCCGGCGCGGCAAGTTCATGGTTTTTTGTTGTTGGGAAGCATTTTGTTTGGAAGCCACCCAAAGACCAGCTGGAACTGGTAGAGTTGTCAATCAACACAAGCCAAAGGGGCTGGTGAGCACAGGTTGGGCTATCCCAAACACATGGTTGTTGTTGGGAAAACTTTTTTTTTTTTTTTAAACCATTTTTGATCTTATTGTGGTTTAGTGGTTGAAATCACATCACTTAGCTGCTAAAATTTAGATTTTTGCTCCCCCTTCCAACGTGAACCAAGAGTTCCCGCCGGTCTTAGACCGCCGCTTTACTATTGATGAAGACTTCCAAAAGAGTTACCCTTGCAGAATTGTATCATGCCCCCTAAAATTGATTGATTGGGAAACTGGAATTCGACCTGTGCCAGTTTCATTGTCCTGTTGTGGGAAAGGCTAGCAAGATGAAATTGGACATCCCCTTGAGGTAAGGTGTGTTCAAATCACACATTGCTGTTTCATTGAATGAATAGTATAGCCCGTGCTCCTTGTAGAAACTTGCAATAGACATCATCCGAATCATTTAGCGGTATACTTTCAATGCCTACTTGCAAAACCATCAGCAGATCTTGTGACATGCTGACACGCTTGCTCAAATTGTTTCACAAACCGCAGGCCGGTTTGAAGTGAGTTCTACGGTCTCGGGTTTCTGAGACTAGCAATCTGCCATGCGGGAGTGCGAGCCAATGCTGCAACGAAAACCTGGAGATTTACCCGCCTGACAAAACGCCCCAAGAGGGGAGCAAGCAAAACCCGGATTGGAGGGTAAGTGACAGTCCCAGCCAACGTATCCGGATATCCGCCTTTTCAGCTCACATTCCGGGATTGCGACCATGTTACTGGGTGTTGCTGGATGCTCCCAACCTCTTGGAACGAAACGCGCACAAAGGGATACTCTTGAGCCTGGGGTCCGTGTGAAGGCGATTCGAACTGTGCCATCCATTTAGTCGTATGGGTCAAAATCAAACCACCATGACCGCAGGTAGTCCTTGCTCCAATTTACCGAAAAGGCAGTGGCTCAAAATTAAAGAGCTAGGGTTACGCAGGTTTTGATCCATGTTTTCCACTTACCAGGGTTCCATTTTGGTACCGGTTTTTTGAGCCATACCCAAAAAGGGAACCTTTCTGTTGCATGTCGCCCCGGAGGCAAGCTCCGGTGGCTTCCAAGAAGGGCCGAGCAACCGTGGGCATGATCTCTTCGGGGGTTTGGATGACTCCGGGGTTGTCCTTTCCGCCTGGACGAATGTTGTGGCAAACCGATTTGGACTGGCCAACCCTGCTAGCGTTCAATGGCCGCTCGCTGAGGCGAAGGGGGCTACCAGCGGTCATGCCCCGCGCCCGGAGTTTCGCAATCGGGCCGGCGGGTCCAATTGCAGGATCCCTTTGTGAGTGATCAAACACTCATGGACATAAAACAGTCGGTGTGTCTTTTGTTAGGGGAACCCAAAATGCCATCTGCGTTCCCTTGGTTTCCCTTTGAAACCACAAACAAGATACCCTCAACAACGTTTCTGTTCCTTGTTTGTTTTTGGCCGGGGCTTCACATTTGTGTCATCATGAGTGTTTCTGGGGGTTAACCATGTTTTCCTTCAACCACCCCTCAGGGATGACTAGCAAAATGTCGCCTTTTCGGGGATTGGCCCTCTGGAAAGGCCAAATGGGTTTAAGGTGAGCTCCCTTGGAGTGGGTGATGCTTTGGGTGAAATGTAGAAAGTCCTCGGTAGAGTGGAGCGGAAGCGTGTCTTCCGTGTTTGCATCAAGGGGGTCTGCCTTCATCAACATTCCTTTCTGTCTTTGAAGGGGTTCAGGTCGTTCCCTGAATGCATGTAAACCGGGCAGCCATGCCGAATCAGCAGCTTTTCCTGGCTCTCTGCTTGAGATGTGCATGCGTGCGTACCCACGAAAAATTGGCCATGTATCCCTTTGGGGGAGGAGATGGTATAAACAGCAAGCCACAGGGGTCCGTACAAAGATCCCTAAGGAGGCGAGCTTCCATCCTAATGACCCAAACACGCGGAGCATTGGTTTGGTTTCCTTTTGGTTTTTGCCGCCAAAATTGTGCCCGAATGCAGCTCTGACGAATTCCTGCGGAAGGGGGAGTTTTAGTCGCGAACTCACGGGCTGCAGCGGGCAGAGGGGGCCAGGGGAAGCCCATGTTCAGGGAAAGAGGGGTAAGGAGGGGGCATGAGGGGAATGACCCCTACCCATCGCCTACGGTTTCCTTGAAGGGAACCGCCCCCCAAAACCCAGGAAGACAAGGGATAGTGGACTTTGTCGTTCCCTCAGCTTGGCCCTTGACAACACCGACCCGAAGCACCTTTTCCTTTGGGACTTTCCTCATTTGTTTGTTTCAAACACGAAAAGTAAAGTTGACTTGTTGCAGGGGTCCGCTCAGTTGGCCCAGTTTTGAAAGACGGAGGCTTCACACGGGCTTAGTAGGTGAGAGGTCCATGCATGTGAGTCAGTTTGGTTGAGGAACCGATGGACCCCGCTTTCAGTTTGGTAATCCTTTACCACTAGAACCCATGTGTTTCCAAACGGGTCAGCTCGGCTTGGAACATGAGTCGTTCCATTTGGTCCTTGGCGCTTTCTTTTATCTTGAAGATGGACAAGACCCTAAGGATGGAACATTCGTAGAACGGGTGCCTTTGGTTTTCCCTCCCAAGGCCCAATGCCAAAACACCCCCAAAGGCTACATGCAGGGAGAAGCTGCTGGAAGATATGGGTTCTCCATGGATCCAGGCTTGTCAAGGGCCCGTAGCGCCTGCCTAAGGGTTTTTGGGGATTCATTGCGGCCCCTTTGGGCGGGCCTTGACAACCATAGATGGGCTTCGGTTTCCGAGCAGACATTGGGCCACGCTCATGCTGTCCATGTCAAAAAACTTCAAGCAGTTGGCGGCCCAAAAAGGCACCTGACCGTGCAGGCCTTGCAGGAATCGTGGGAATGCGGGGTCTCAACCGCTTCTGGGACCAGAAACATGTTGATTACTGTTGATAAAGAGCCTCTCCTTGGAGGGAAGAGCTAGTCAAACTCCCCATTTTCCGAGGCAGTCTCTCCCTCCAGCCACAACAACATGAGTGAATAGCCCCAAAGAAGTTCCTACAGCGAACCATTTCTGGTAAGGAGGTGGTTTGAGCTTTATGAGAGCTTTTGAAACCAAGTTCGACTTGGTTTCCACGCGATTGCTTGGTTTCCAAGCTTGGCGCTTCGGCGGGTCGAAACAGTGTGGTCTGTGGTTTGACTCGCCCCCGGTGTGGTCCCTCAGCCGAATGGCTCACTTTGGTATGGCCGCCTAACAGCTGGTCGCGCCAGCCTTGGTTGCGCCTCGGCGACCGGGAGCCTGGGACGGAGGGACTTGGGTGCGAGATGTTTCTTGGTGCTTGAGATGCGCTCATCCAAAACGATGACTCTCCGAAAAGGGGTCCAAGTCAGCTTGCGCAGAAGAAATGCAGGCGGTCAAATGCACGAGAAAGAAGGAGGCGAGACACTGTGCCAGTGCAAGTGGTTTGACATTTTTAGACATGGCTGTAGAGTTGACCTTGTGTTAGATAGGGGGTCTAGAAAATGGCAAATCTTGTACATATATACATATATATATCATGTGTGTCCCTGTGTAGTGTTCTTTGGGGGAAATCTGGAGGCTTCTCAACATGACGAACCCCTTTTTGGATGGTCTTTCGCGGGAAACCACAAGGAGACCACCCATTGTGGTTCCCCAATTGGCCGGCACCCATATCTGAGCGAAACCTTCGAATTCTCCAGAGAGGTACCAGGTTTGGAACTGATGCCGACAGGAAACCAATGCCAGTTGGAAGGCTACGAGTTCTTCCTCTTGTTGGATGGGGTGTGATGAAAAGTTCTGTGCATACTTCCATGTTTGGGGAGGGGGGGGGGGGGAAGACTAGACAAAATGGGAGTTGGGGGGGATTTTTTTCACCCCCCGCCTTTCGCAGGGCTCTCCTCCAGACATGATACATAGGAGGTTGCCGGAGATTGGGTTCCGGGGGTTCCGGCGCAGTTGGGGATACCACCTGCGCTTATCTTTTTGGGACATGGTTGTCAAACTGAGGGACCCATGAATAGTAGTCCCTCTAAATGGCACGAGTCGTGGGTCCCAACGGACCCATAAGTTTTGGACGTTCATGGACTTAAGGGCCAATTTCTGTACAAAGGGAGTCCTCAAAGTGAAGCAGTCATGGGAACGCCCCTTCTGTATTGATATCGCAGAAAAAGTGATTTTCTGCAACTGCTAGTAGGGAGGAAACCAAAGGAGTTGTCCTAGTATCTAGTTCCCTGCTCTCTCCAGGGTCCTTTCAGAAAATTGCCAAAATGCCGATCCTGAGTTTATTCACTTGATACTTTAAGGGGAAGACTGTGGTGGCAGCAAGTGTTTTTGCAATTTTTGGGCCGAAGCGAGGACTGGATTGCCGTGCCCCAGTGGGGGTGCAAGAAGGTCACTCCGCGCACATCGACGGCTGGTCCGGCGGGTCGAAACGAAGTACTAAAAATAAGGGCTTGAAATACTTAAAGAGAACAAATAATCTAAAAAATAAATAAATTGCCGAATAGCTTTACATGACCGGCTCAAGATTTCAGGGGGAGTTTTAGTCATAGAGACAACCCCGCGTCAGCCATGAAGGTGGCTTAGTCTTGCCCCTCGGGAAGGCTATTGTAGTGGCAGGCAAAGCTCAAAATGGTTTGGCTCACCCGCTCAAAAAGTAGGCGTTTGAGGTCAAGGTCCGGGTTGAAGTGACATCCTCAAGACTACCCTTTAAACGGTCAAGCAGGACGCTAATCCCAAAGCTAATTTCGAGAACCCCTGACCCGCATATGGATAGTTTCCCTGCCACGCTTGTTTTTGTTGGTCAGAAAGGTGCAGTTCCTTCGACTGGGCCCGAAATCCATTTTGAAAAGAACTTACATTTCCAACTCCATTTGGGATCCAACAGATTCGACACATCTTTTTGGTTGCTTCTGTTAGAAAGAGTATCAGCTGGGCAACTTAGTGGCTTAGTGGAGGGTTGCGCTTCCTTTGGCAGGGATTATTCGACTTTATATCGCCAGGTTCGCACCAAATGTGGAGCTTCAACGTTGGCATGTTTGGGGTTTTGGCTTCTTGAGTTCATTTTCCGCTGGTGCGCCAGAACATTTAGTGTTTGCTGACCTACGAGGGGCTGGGGTCCTTGTCACTTTCACTGGGATCCCCTTTGGCATGCGCAAGCACTGGATGACCAGAATCAATCATCTTTTTCTTCGGGAAGCTGAGGTAGACTAGCTTGCAGGGTTTGCCGAGTGGTCGTTTGCTGGGAGTTCTAGAACGAGATCGAACAGTGGCAAGCGAATCTTTGTACGGAATCCCCTGAAAAAAAACCACAGGGGAGACAAGTTTCCACTTTTCTGGACAAACAGCAACTGCAGGGAACCACCCGGAGCTGATTGGTCTGGTTGCAAACCTTTGGGCATGGTCTAAATCACTGGCGGTGGACTTGTTTGGGAACCCACAACGACACATCCGCACTTCGGGCGGCCCTATCAGGGTGTGTCTCCAAATGAGGACAAACATATCTCTTTGACTTCTCTAAAAAACAAAAAAACAAAAAAAAACGAAGGTTACCACGTATTTGGCACCTTACATCCATCATTCGCTTCATTACCCAGATTCCAATACTGATTCGCAGCCGTGGGAGCCATGGCCTTTAGGGCCCATAGGCACTCGTCACTAGGCTGTGGCTCATGGCTCTGAATCAGACAGACAGCCAAGGTCCAGTGCTTCCTTGCAAAGGGCTTTGCAGTTGGGCTTTGCAGTTTTGGCGCCCGGGCTGCAGAGATTGGGGGAAACACCAGCTCATGATGTAGGTCCCATCCATATTCTTATTTCGGGTTTTGGAAGCGGAAAGCGACCTGTAGGTCGATAGAGAAATTACGCTGGACTGCACCCTTTTTGTTGCTTTGTTTCTTTGAGGTCTGATTCTAGCAGTTTTCGAGTCGAGCGCCTGTTTCAGCTTCCCCTGCATTTCAAATTGTATGTTAAAATCGACATTATGACTAGATTCGTCCTCATTAAATTCTATTTAAACTAATTTGTTAAACTAGAATTTGAAAGATTAGGAATTATATCATAAGGACAGACATTCAAGGTCCAAAACTTTTTTTTTACCTAGCCCCAAACACTACCATGGTCAGATACCATCTTTGGTAGCGGTGTTCATACTAAACTCACATATTCACCAACGGCCGCTCTGAACAAAATAATTAGATTTCGAGTATAATTTCAATAGGACTCAACAAGGAAATACTTGTTCCAACTCCTACTAGCAGTTTTATATAAGTTTCAATTTTAGTTCGAACTTCTTGCCAAATAGGACTTTGCAAGTCAATTGGGGCTTTCCAATCGATCTTTCTTCGCACGAGTTCAGTCTGAATTTCCATTTTGTGCTGGAATGTTCAGTAGGCACACCAAGCACCATTCTCCCAGAACTCTTGGCACAGTGAGTGGCTACCTCTTGAAACAGAGTCTGAGGAAAGTTGTTTTGTTTTTTGCTTTTTGTGGTTTGTTTTTTGCTTCTTTTTGTTGCTTCCCTTGAGTTTTTGTTTTTGTTGTTAGCTTTGAGCAGGCCAGGAGATCCAGTGGAAAGACTGTCTGATATGTTTATTGTTATTGTTATTATTTCATTGTTATTATTATAGCTTGTATGTATGTATGTATATACAGTTTTGTTTTAGTTTGTTGGTTTCCTCGAGGCTCACTTTAGGCTACACAGAGAAACCTGGCAAACACAGTGTTCTGAGCCATTTTCGCGGGATGCCGGGGGATGCCGGTAATGCGGTCTTCGCCTCGTTTGCTTTTGGTGTGGCGCCACACGCACGCACGTTAAGCTGAGCAGCCAACCAGCGCGAAGGTCGGTTTCTTGGGTGTCCCTTCAATTTCCTCTTTGGCTTCCTTTTAAACCAACCTCAAGAATGGTTTCCTCAAAAAACAGGCGGCCCCCCATGAATTATTGCAATTTTGTTGGTGCCGACATTCAACAGGTTTGCACCCATGGCTTTTAGGAATCGGTAGACGCGCCGATTCGCCGATGACCTGGGACACCTTTTTACCCCTAGTGAGCTGCAGTCAAAAAGACCATGGGCTTAGGGGCACTGAGTTGCCATTTTGGGGTTGACATTGTCTAGGTCCCTCAGTAGTGCCCTTTTACCCTTTCTTTTTTGGGGGGAGGGTTCCCCTACTGAAATAGACTACAGAAAAACGGGTACCCTTATTCTAACCTCTCTACTGGAGGACCTAGTTGTGTGAGTCTCTCTTCCCGCCCAAGACGGCCCCCCAAGTTGGTGGCATTCTTGAGTCAACTTCGTTCCAAATGTCCACCCCGTTCATGGTTTTCAACAAATACCCCCTTCTCAGTGTTCTACTGATTGTAACTAATTGACCATAGAGGGAGAAGTTTTGTGCGAGCCTGCTTTCAATCAGATTCCGTAACACTGAATTTCCTTCTAAACTTCCTTTGACCAGTCAACAGCCAATTCGCACGAACAAATGCTCGTCAGGCTCGCGGTTTCAGGAGTTGGGCGCGCCGCTTGCAACAGCAACGGCGACAGTCGCGCCGTCCTCGGAAAGCTGGGCTTACGAAACACGGCCTGGTCGGGGCCCGTGAAAGCTTCGCTTAGGGATTTGTCTCACAGAGTGTGAATCACGCTGAGTGCAGATTCATCCAGCATGTGGATGCACTTACCCGAACTTCCATCAGCATGGGTGACTTGTGTCTTTCAACTGTTGGTTTGAAAGGCGGCGATTTTTTTTACTTGCTGAGGCCCGCGAATGTCCGCACTAGATGATGCACAGGCCGGAGTGAGAGGACTCCCGTCGCCCCTGTCCGACTCTCGGGAACTGAGCCATCCAGGTACTGAAAAGCCCCTCAGCCAAGCCTAGCGCAGGCGTAGAATGCAAATTGAAGCTCCAAAAGATGAGCTGGCTCCATTTGGATGGTCTTTTTCCGGCACATATGAGCCACAATCAAAAAACGGGTAGATGAAGGTTAGTAGTGCCAATCCCAGCCATAAATAGCTGCGGATATCCGGCTTCTTACTCCTGTACATGGTTCTGGGTCGACCATTTTAATACCAGGTGTTGATTGCGACTCATGTGTGTATGATATTCATATGAGATTTAGACATTCATTTGTACATATATCAATGATTTCTCTTCCAGGGGCCAGAGTTCACAGCCTTATTGGGTCGAATGGGCGCAGTGGTTTCGGTGGGGCTGCTTGGAGCGCCAGAAGCTGAACCAGCTCAACCAGGACGTCAGGGAGAGCGAGAGAGAGAGAGAGAGAGTTAGACAGAGAGGCGGAGCGGGAGAGAGAAGGAAGGAAAGACAGAAAGAAAGAAATAATGAAAGACAATAACATAAAATACAAGAACATAACAGAAAGAGAAAAACTGAAAAACATAAAGAAATAAAGACAGAAAGCAAGAAAGAAAGACATTAATAAAGAAATAAGTAAAGGAGGAAAGCACAGATAATGAAAGAAAGGAGGAAAGCACAGATAAAGAAAGAGAAAAATAAAGAAAGAAAAGAAAAGAAAGAAAGACAGAAAGAAAGAAAGAAAGAAAGAAAGAAAGAAAGAACCAACTACACACATTAAACGAAGGAAGGAAACCGACAGAAGGACCAGGAACAAGAAAGAAGGAACATAAATAAAGAAAGAAACACAAGACAGAGAGGAAGGAAGGACGGACAAAAGCAAGAAAGCAATCGATAAAGAAAGAGAGGGGGGTTGGGGCGGGGGGAGCGGTTGAGGCATGCAGCCTGGCAAAGCTGTGAGAAGCACATGGCCGCCTCAGATTTGGGGATTTGCTTTACCCAAGGCCACCTGGGAAGGAAGCCATGTCCATACCGACCTTCGCATTGATTTCAGCCAGTCTTGGCCATCGAGGTTCGTTGCTTGGGGTCCGCTCGCTCCTTTTTTCAGATAGGGCGAATTCTAATTCACCCGGAACTTGGCCAGCCTTGTCCACAGCTGGGCTTGGAGAGAACTCTACCTTTTTCCTTGGCCGAGGAGGCCTGGTCCCAGTAACTCAGTAGCCGTTTTAGAAAGCCAGGGACTTTTCCTCCAGTTCTGCCTTTTTGTTAACATTGTGGTTACCCCTCAAACGTCTGATTTGGCTTTCAGACCAGATAGCCAAGCATCCCTCGATGCCTCCCTGCGCAGGAGCTGAAGGAATTTGTGCGAGCAGGTTCTGATACACGGGATCGGGAGAAGTCTGCAAGAAGGATCAAGCTTTGCTTGGATGGCCTCGCTCGCGGCTCGGCCAAAAGCTGCCCCAACTTTGATTGCCAGATAGAAGCACAACGTGATATATATATATATATATATATACATACATATGTGTATATACATAGATCAACATATATATATATATATATATGTATATATAGGTGTTTCCAATAGGGAAAACCCAAGCTGAACCGACAAGCCACCTGAATCGCCCCGAATTTTGGGAACTACCCACGGATGGTGGTCATTGGTTTGCACCCAGATCAGAAACAGGGAGGACCACTCGAAAGTTGTCCAACATGCAGATGCCTTCCCCTTGCAGGAAAATCAACGGCACTTCTGTCCAAAGTCGGGAGTCTGTCCTTGCGAACTGGTTCGGTCAAGCCATGTTCGGGCCATGGTCTTGCCCGCACTCACTGGTCAAGAAGGGGATCTACTGGTCTCCTAGTTTGTCCATGTCCCGTGGGGTTACGTGGCAGACCATTCTCTTTTCAAAGGGACCGTGTCGGGTTGCGTGTTGATGCAAAGTTACTTCCCTTGCAGGGCACTGCAAGGTGAAAGGGCACGTCTCTCAAAGTTCCTCCCCCAAGTCTGTTCACACATCTTCCCCCGTTGTTTTTTGGAAGGATCCAATGGGGGAAGTACAGCTAGAATGCAATGCGCAGCGGACAAGCAACTCAAGTTCATCAACCTTCTTCATGTTCTGATTCAGAGCCACGGGGAACGATAGCAACCTATAGTGATATATTGGTTACTAGAGGCTGAGGACCATGAAGGGTCATGACCACACCAAGCCTTGCTACGGATAGGCATCAAAATTCTAGGGGTACCTCCCTCATTCTTTCCATAGATCCTTCTTTCCAGAAAACCTCCAGAAACTCAGGGGAAAAACGGCTCCGGTTTTTGAAAAGAACGATGGTGAACAGAATGGAAAAGGAGTTTTTCCTTAGAAACATCGGGGCGCCCCAAAGTCGAGCTTCGCTTGTGGCTTCGCTGTGGCTTCCTTTAAATCGACCCCCCAAAAGGCTACGCGCACTCCCCCAAGGCTCGCCGCATCCGAGGCAACCTGGGCCTAGGCACAGGCGCCGTGAACATGCCTCCCGTCCGCAGGTGTTCAGAGCTAGCACCGAAATACTTGGAATGGAGTGGGGTATTTGAAAGCTAGGTCATAGGATAATATGGTGTGTGCGTGTGTGTTTGATGACTCAGCCCCTGAATCTGTGGGTCTTTCACGGGCAATTACATGTGTTTTAGACATTACCTTCTGCGCCAATGCGAAGTGAGCTTTGGGTGAATACCTATGGGGAGGCCAATGTTTGTTCTGGCCCCTCTTTGGCTGACGGATGGGCCCATGTTTTTGATCTATCGCAAGTGAACCATGCCACATCCACCAAACCCCGGCGGGCTGCGGGAAATGCGTAGCTTTCAGGGGGTTTCTTGTCGCCCTTCCAAAATGTTTGTCATCTGAAGCCTCGTAAAAAAGAAAAGGAAAAAACAATATATATATATATATATATATATATATACAAATCGTCTGCATCCTCCGTTTCTTGTTGGCCTTACAAAGTGTTTGTCATCCGAAGCCTCGTAAATTTGGTAGCTTGCAGGTTTACCCACTTGCAACATGTTGGTTTATCCGCCGTTTCGGCGGTTTTCGACCAAATTGTTTGCTCGTCTTCTGAGGTTTGGTTCCTTTTCCAACGGCTTTAAGACCGGCACCTCCGACTTGGACGTGCTCCTGGCGGGGAACGTGCACAATGAGAGCGCCATCTCGATCCTGCAGTGGCTCGCCCTCTCGCCCACGCTCGAAAACGGGTTGGGCCTGTGGTAAAGTACCTGTATGATCACTAGAAGTACTTTCATTTGCTGAAATGAATATTTGTTTATTTCCACTTGTTGGTCGTAAAGGGAATCGATTTCACTACTGGAAATATATATATATATATATATATGTATATAATGGTTGCCTGGGGGTTTCACTAACATGGCAACTGACAGGGACCCGGTCCCTTCAAAAGGACATTTATCTTCCAGGTACCTCCTCACAGGAGGAAGGGTACCTGTATGATCATTCGATTTAAGACCAAATACTAATTCATGGGACAGATGAATTCTGGTATTATCTCTCTTTTTTGTTTCTGTGGGTGAAAAGGAAAGAGCTAGGGCAAACCGCGGGTTTTTGCGTTTTTGGTTCCATTTACCTTTTGGTGCCAGTTTGGAGCTTCCATGTTTTTGAGCCCGAGCCTTAAATTGGAGCTTGGGGCTGGACTTTGGGCCGGGCTGGGAGGTCTTGGTCTTTTCCGTAAGAGGATCGGGGCCCCTGATGGGACGGTCATTGGATATTTGGAGGTGCACCCTGCGGTCTCCGCGATGGCCTTTGGCCTTTGGATTCGCCGACTTGGGATGGGGAAACCACCGAAAGTCTTAGCCTTGGCTTTCGCCAGCGATCCGGTTCCTCAGCCTAGCTGTTTAGTGTTTGGTAGTTTCCATTGAACCCAAAAGTTATTCACTTTGAGCGGAGGATCTGAGCCCAGAAACAGGAGGACCGCCGAATTTCCGACCTGGGGAAGCATTTCGAGCGCCAAGAAGCTAAGAATACTACCACAGCAGACCGATGTAAAGGGGCACCTTGGACCGATCCACCCATCCTACAAGTTTCGATAGCATTGGATCGCCCAAGGCCGATACCCTGGCTCGCAATGTTGAGGGCTCTCAGGTAGATCTTGGGAGGGATTTTCCCCGCAACATCAAGCACCAACAGAGGGGTGCACGCCCTCTGCAGCATCTTGGCTTGTTTGCCATTGAATATCTGAAAGGTGAGCGATTTTTGCAGCAAGACACTCTCAGTTACTGGCGAATACCATGTTGGTGTCAATTGTTAGCATTTGGACAACCAGGGCTTGTTTCTCTGCAATTTTGGTTGATACACATCCCGCTCTAAAAAGGGAATTGGGGGAGGGGCGTGAACCCCGGACTGACGTTTAGAGTTCCATGCCCACGGTTTAGGGAGGGACGCCACGCTTCCATCGGTTGAAGTGTTGTTTGTTTTTTCTTTTTGCGCTTTTCCCCCTGTTGGTGTTAAAAGGAAACGATCACTGGACACATTGTCTCATTTTTTTCCCGGGGGCGGAAACGCACATGGACGCACGCCGGCGTCTCGTTTCTCGCGGGCTTCTTTGGTGTCTCCCAGGCGGTTCGCGGCCAACCTGGAGAGTATGGACCTGGGCTTCACGAACATCACCAAGATCTTCCAGGCGCGGAACGGATCGAGCGGCCGGGTCTCGACCCAGAGAACCGAAGCGGTTTTGGCTGGGTCCGCAGGTTCAGAACCCCCTGGCGCAAAAATATGATGTGGCCATGGGTCATCACCTATGCCTCCATTTTGGGAATGGCGGACGAACACCCATGTACCACCTATTTTGCTGTGATGTACAGGGTTTGACACACAGCCATGTGTTTTCTGGCCCAACAGTCCGAGAAAAAGCTAGAAACCGAAGAGACTTGTGCGTTCCGCTGGGGTCGGATTGGGGTCCCAGTTGAAGCAGAGATGCTGCTGGATTTACGCTCGCCGCAGGCGAGCGTTCCCCTGCTCAAGCTTACCGACAAGGATTCCGAGATGGAGGCTGGAGCCGAAACCACCCGGATGAATCAAGTCCCACAGGCAAATATCCATCTCTGGACCAGGTTTCTCATCATTTGGCCAGCAAAGTAACATGAATTTATAGGGGTCAAAGAGTAGATTTGTGGTTTTGGGGTTCTATGTGAAATCTGAGGAGTTTTTTGAGCTTGGGTCCTTTCAGCCTTTCAGCACGCGTCTGATCAGTTGCTGGCCAGGGTTGGTGGCAACATCGGAACACGACCAGACCCTGGTGCCTCTTTAACTTGGCGGTTCAACCAGCCATCCGGTTCCGGAAAGTAGTTTTGTAGTTGGTGTAGTGGCTGGGTTTCCGTTTAACCCTCTCAAAGTTAAACTTTTGGCAGGGGATCTGAGGACATCCCAGTTAAAAGGCTTTAGGGGAACAACAATGTGCTTCAAATTTGTGCAGCGGCGTGATCTGCTGTTTTGCTCGAGAGCTGCTCACTTCAACGGAATGAATCAGTTTTTTTTTTCCCCCCGACAAGGGTACCCTCGCAACAATTCCATGGAACCTGACAGGGGCTCCCTTATAGGAAAATTGTCTTCCAGGCCCCCCGGAAATGTCAGGCATGTGAAAAGGGTGGGAGAGGAAACTCAAGAACCCCCTCCATCCTCGCGAAGCGCACGTTTCTTTTTGTTGGAATGTGATCTCGTGGAGTCCTCTTAAAGCGTTCGGTGTGAGTCCCTTCCGACGCAAAACATTTGCCTTGGACGTTCATGTTGAGTGTCCTCTCGGTTTGTACTTAAAGGTTCAGTTGGGCAAACATCGGTTGCTTTTCTTTGCACATGCTGCTGACGAAGCTGAAAAGCTTTAGGGCCAGTCCGGAGAGCTCAGCGGATGGGACTTGCTTTTAGTCACTCGAAATTCTCGGAGAACGAAAGCTTCCACCCGGAAACTCCAAACCGGACCCACCAAGGCCGAAACTCCAAATGCCCAGGCTGCAGGACCCATTTTTGATCAACCGGAGAGAGTGGAAGGGATGCCCCAAAGAAGTTTCAAGAGCTTGCCAAAGTATCCTGACTCAGGGTTCCGTTTTTGTTTTTTGTTATTGACTACCTTGCGGTAGACTTACACCCAGTGTCCCTTTTTGGGGAATGAACCAGCCCTGGGTTTAAGTCTGCCTTGGAGTAGTCAAAAACCGGGACCCTGTCCTAATTGTCGGTGGTAAGTTTGGAACAGGGGCTAATAAATAGGTTTGATCATTGGATTCTGTCCTTTTTCAATTCTAGTTCAATTCAGCTAGAAATCGAGTACACGTTGATATAGATATTTCAGACCTAGTTCTTTTTTGAGCCTAGCCCCAAGCACTACCATGGTCAGAGAACCGTTCAACACAGTGTTTTGAAGCTAGCTGTGCTCGTACTAAATTCACATCTTCACCAACGGCCGCTCTAAACAAATAATTACAACTTGAATGGAGTCAATACGGACATACTTACTCGAATTCTAGGGGACATTCTATCTTACATTTAGAATTTGGTCAGACATCCTTGCCAAACAAATATGCCAAACAAACACTATGAACTACTGCAATTCATGAGCCAAATCCCACCAAGAAACACGGAGAAATGCACTTTTGCAGACCCCTTCTCAGAGTGCAGCTTTCAGAACCTGCAAGTGTAGGCCCCCCGCTTTCCGTTTTTCCTGCTGGTGACAGGCATCCCCGCTTGGTGACTTGGATTGGTGGTTCTGGTTCTTGTGGGTAAATGCGAAGCCACTAACTTCCAAACCGCCAATCCAACCGAACAGGTGGACTTTTGCGTGGGCAACGAGCTGGGGCTCCGCAACTCTTTTCTGCTGAACACGCCCCTTGGGCTGAGCTGCGCCCTTCTTCGGACTCGGGTTTCTGCGGGGGACGAACCTGAATGCTGGGTTTTCCTGGGGGGCTCCCCGAAAAGTCAGCCGAACAAACTGAAAAACACACATAAGGCAAGCTACGTGTCAACAAAAACGCACCCGCGTGCCCCTGTACTCCTAGAGTTGATCGCTGGTCCTTTTGGGCTTGGTGATGTTTGAAGGATAGGTACAGAGCCCTGGCAAGCAACAAAAGTTTGTTGGAGGGAGTCAGCAACCAATCCCGATATTGTCTGTGGCTCATGCAGGAGTATGGCGACTCAATCTGGATGTAAGGAAAAGGCAACTCCCTGCGCCTGACATGATGTTGAGAAAAAGATGGGGGCACTCGCGAACGGAGACAGGACGTGAAGCATTTCTTGCGCAAAGGAACGCCCGCGGTCTTAAAGGGTCAACGCCTCGCGGTTCTGCGTCAAGCTTGCCACTTCCGCGGAGTTGTTGCAAGATCAGGTGCCCTTTGTTGGGGGAGGTGTACCCATTTCCCAAGTCCCCTTGGAGAGTGATTTGAGGGCAGGGTTGTGGGATCAAGGGGTTTATCCCCACTTCTGCGACACAAGGGAATCTCCCCCTTCAGGGGGGTTAGTCTTTGGCAAGCCCTTTTTGTATCACAGAAGTGGATTCCATTTCAACCACAACCCTGTTTGAGGGGAAACCACCCCATGTCCCATCCGCTTTTTGGGACCCGCCCGTTTAGCGCACCCATTTGGCTGGGGTCTAGCTCGGATGTTAATTGGCTGTGGCTCAAAAAAGCCGGCCAACCCAAAATGGGTTGCCCTGGCAAGTGGAAACATGGACCAAAACCAGCGGTTTGCCCCTCCTGTTTAATTTGGAGCCACAGCCAGAATTGTATCGCCCCAAAGCCTTGGAGTTGATGGGCACTATCCACGTGGGGTGCAACCTTTGGTTGGCACGATGCACCCAGGTTTTTGAGGTATTGATCCCCCGTCCCCCCCATTCTTTGCAACACTGTGTCTGGAGAACAAGTGTTCCAAGTACCTGCCGGAGTCCTCTTCTCTTGCTTTCCTTGTTACTACCTTCGAAGAGTTACGGATTTAGAGCTTGGGTGGATCTGATGTTCCAAGATTAGACAGAGAAACACCCCCCCACCCACCCAAAACCCACCCTTTTCCACCCCCCACCCCACCCACCCACCCACCCACCCCCTACTTTTCCACCCCCCACTTTTCCACCCCCCCCCCACCTGGTTGAGTCATGAGTTTTTAGCGTGACAATGTTACTCGAACTTGCCGATTGGAATTAGGCTTGAGCTATATGTGCAAGGGCGGCGATGCCTGCAAGAGTTGCTTGACGTTGACCTCTTTTCTACCGGGCCTCCGTATGTTTTGTGAAGATCCCGCGCTTTTCCCATGGTCAAGACCCGCCGTTTCCGTCTGGCCTCCCCCCCGCGCACAAGCCTGTTGAACCCGGAGCCACAATCAACAGGTCATGAATGAAGTGCAGCCGCCTTTCTTAACTATTTACATGGTTCTGGGTGGTAGACCAAACAAATGCCGATCGGTTTTGGATTTTGACTCAGGTACTGCAAGTACGACATGCGGGCCTTGGAGCTGGGGCGCTTGGTGAAGGAGTGGGCCAAGAAGCACGAGTTGGTGGGGACCACCGACGGCTGCTTGAACAGCTCCTCGCCAGACATGGGCCGATTCGGGTTGTTTGGGTACTTTTGCCACCCTGGTTGAAAGGGAAACCGTAGCGGGGAATCCGAATCCCGATGATAACAGATCAACTGGGCGTTTGTTGCAATGGGAGTTTGGAAGCCACCCAAAGAATAGCTGGAACTGGTAAAGTTGTCAATCAACACAGGCCAAAGGGGCTGGTGAGCGCGGGTTGGGCTATCCCCAAACACATGGTTGTTGTTGGGAAACATTTTCCCCATTTTTGCTTATTGTGGTTTAGTGGTTGAAATCCAAATCCACTCAATGTTTTTTAAAAAAAATGTTTGCTCCCCTTTCAACGTCAACCAAGAACAGGGTTCGTTTTTGGACCTTGGGGTAGACTTCAACCCTGGGGGGGTGGATTCCGTTTGGGAAACGGAATCAACCACTGGGTTTAAGTCTGAGTCCAAAACGGGACCAGGACTGAAGTCCCAAAAAGGCGAGAACGGTTGTAACCAACCGTTGGTCATGCAAGCTACGCGGGCATGTCAATCAAAATAGGGTGGTTTTTGCCAAATTAGTTGCTTTCCTTTTGGGAAACCCCAATAAAAACCACCCCACAAGAAGGACCACAGGGCCCTGGCTTTACGCCCGCTGGTTCTTTGAGGCCTTTGCCAGGAAGCCAATGGGTAAAATTTCCGCTTGGGTAGATTGGAGCCCAAATTCCATGGGGAAACCCGTGGTTTCGCCCAAAGCGACCAAAAAGGAGACCCGCAAAAGAGGAGGAACCAGTTGTTTTGGTTGTTTCAAAGTGAAACCAAGACTAAAACCATCAAAGGGTGGTTTTCCCCCAGTTTGTTAAACCCAAATGAGTCTTGTGCAGCCGTTAGTTGGAGCGGTCAAGGGGTCCATGTTCTTCACGTTTGCCGCCCCAACCCCGTCAGCGGGTTGACAGGAATGTGTCAGACGACTTTCTTTGGGGCTCTTGCACCTGTCCACCTCCATGATTGAGTTTTGCGGGTATGAAACCCCGGATCGCTTTTGCGCGAGTTGGGGAGGTTTTCCTTTTGCCACCAGTCTGCCCCATAACTCTCCTCCTTCTAACCCCTTAACACCCCCTTCTTACCCCCTTCTTACCCCCTTCTTACCCCCTTCTTACCCCCTTCTTACCCCCTTCTTACCCCCTTCTTACCCGCTTCTTACCCCCTTCTTACCCCCTTCTTACCCCCTTCTCCCTTCTTACCCCCTTACCCCCTTCCCCGTATTTCCTTTTGACCCCCACAACTCACCTGCCCCCTTGTAACCCCCTTACCCCTTAAAACCCCTTATAGCCCCCACAACCCCCATGGTTGGTCCAGCATGTCGACTCGTAATTGGAAGCTCCCCGCTTGAGGTTACGCCTACATGCTCCTGGTGGTTTTCTACCTGCAGAGCCTCCAGCCTCCGGTGGTGCCTTCGCACCTGAGAAAAAGGTCTCAGGGTGGTTGTTGGGACACATTCTTCCCATGTTTGATCTTATTGTGGTGGGCGCATTTTTTTGTTGATCTTCTTGTGGTTTAGTGGTTGAAATCCAACCAGGAGACAATTTTCCCATTTTTGATGTTATTGGGGTTTAGTGGTTGAAATCCAAATCCACTCAACTGCTGAAATGTTTAAATGTTTGCTCCCCTTCCAACATCAACCAAGAATAAAATCAAGCAATGGGAACCCCGGATCTAAGTAGAGCTTGATCAAACCAGAAAGGGTTGTCCCCATTTAGTGGTTGGATTCAGATCACTGGAGGGAACACCCCCGTTAGTTAGGATGGGTTCATTGATCCAGGGTCAGCATGCCCAATAACAAGGGGCGCCCTTGGCGAACATGGCTGTGGTGGTCAAAACCAATGGGATCCCATATGGGTCCCATATTGGGGTAGGTGCACCACCCATTTTAGGTCCGGGTCCAACATTCAAGCGGCTTTTGCTTTGGGGTCACTGCGCAACTGGATGAGGAACTCGTGAGTTTTTTTGGGGTTTGCTGGTTTGCCAGCCCAGCGAGGTCGTTTCTTCCCAAGGTCTCCGGACGTTAGGACTTTTAGTAAGACCATGTTGCTTTTTGGGAAGACCCTTTTGGGGACGACCTGTTTAAGACTTCTGGCTTTTTGGGAAACCATGTTGATTTGTTTCACCCACAGGAAGCGAGTGGCACGAGTAAATGCCAAGAGCCAAGAATGAAACGCAGACTCCATTGATTTTCAAGCACTCTGATGGAATTTGCCACTTTTCGCCTTGTGACATGCCGGCGGCGAAATCGGAATCCCAGTGAGAAGCCCAGGAAAAGAGCCTCCGTTTGGGTAGTTGAGGTCATTCACCTTGCAACTGGAAGTGGCCAGTGGCCGGCCGGTGGGATACCTCCTTTTGTGGTCAAAAGAAATCACAGCCTCAACAAAGCGCCGGGATGTTTGAAGATACGGGTGGTGACTCGGGGGGGGGGGGGGTGGGATAGTCGGTGGGATAGCCCCTGTTCTTGCTGGTGCTCAGTACGGAATGACCGTTCCGGGTTTTGCGAATGAACCATCGGAGATGGTTTTTTCCTCAGGTCATTCCATTTCCCATTCCCTGCTGAGAACCAGCAAGTTTTGCAAAACGGTGGGTGCTAGGGGGTATGCCCGCTTGAGCCATAATCAAAGCCCGGGTGAGTCCCAGCCATGAATGCGTGCAGCCGCCTTTGCAAGTCTTTACATGGCTCTGGGTTTATTCCACCTTTACTCAGGCTGTTAGTTGGTGCTTTGGATTAAGGTGCCAGGTCCGAACCGCCATAGACCAATTTGATGCCAGGGATTGAACACCTGACTACTTCAGGTCCCAAACCTCCAACTCATGGAGTGCGAGTCCTACCTGGTGAACGACCGCACCTGGGCTCACCCGACGGCAGCTGCGTTTCCTCGGTGCTTATTTATGGCCAGTGGCCAGGGGGAAAGAGGGGCACCTCTTTTTTTAAAAGGGAACCCCTTCAAGCGGTTTTTGTGTTAGTTGGTTTTTTTTTGGAGGGAACCCCTTCAACCGCCTAGAGGGGGAACCCCCTATCCGCGAAGAAAAGGAAGAAAGGAAGTTGCTGAGAAGTCGATTCATATTCGCCTCATGTCCCAGGAAAAGAGGAAAGTGAGTGGATTGGCATGACAGGAAGAAGCTGGTTTGCCAAGATGGTCATTCCAATAGAAAAGCCCATCTCGGTCTCCAAGCTGGTGGGTTTAGATTGCCCAGCCACTCTTTCTATGGACCGGAGGCGTTTGGATGGGCCTTGGCACAGATACGTGTTGCCATTCCCCACGAAAGCGGGCAAGGCTCACCCATGAAGCTCCCCAACAAAGTGGTCTCCTTTTGGGTTGAGTTGGTGGTTTGGATTTTGGTGGTTTAGATTTGGATTACTGGTTCTTGTGGGTAAATGGGAACTATCCCCAATCCCAAAATTTCCGCCAAACCGCCAAACCGCCAAACCAAGCCACACCACCAAACAAACCAAACCACACCACAAAACCACCACACCACCAAACCACCAAACCAAACCACATCACCAAACAAACCAAACCACACCACCAAACCACCACACCACCAAACCACCAAACCAAACCACATCACCAAACAAACCAAACCACACCACCAAACCACCACACCACCAAACCACCAAACCACCAAGCCACCAAACCAAACCACATCACCAAACCACATCACCAAACCACATCACCAAACCACCAAACAAGGGGAAGCTGAAGCAAGCTTCACTCGCCTTCGACGAACCCCTTGCAGGCCGTTCTCTCTAGCCAATGCCCCGCGTGTTTTTTGGTTCGGTCGGAACCTCAAGGCCAGCGCTGAGCCCCAAATGGACCTGCATGAAGCCATGGGTGTGGCTCCAAATTAAACCGGAGGGGCAACCGCAGGTTTTGGTTTCCATGGTGTTGAGGAGAGACCAGACACTGAAGACTATCCCCTTCTCGTTGGGGTTTTGGTGTTTTGGTCCATGTTTCCCACTTACCAGGGCAAGCCATTTTGGCACCGGTCTGTTTTTGAGCCACAGCCTGTCACAGCCACATGAACGGAATTCAGAAAGAAGGCTGGAGGCATGGACCGAGGAATGAGAGTCTCTCTTCACAGGTACCTTGCAGCGTGCTTGTTTGAGGCTGACCTTTTGATGGCGCGAGAACGGGACACCAAAAGGAGGTCAACCATTTTGGGGGGTTCCCTCACCGGAGTGTGTCCGTTTTAGGGGGCGTCTTATCCAAATTTGGCGCTTTTGCTTGTTGTTCCCTTAAAGTCAAGAAGCAAACCTGGAGGCTTGACATGGCAACTTGATGGTGACTGGGGTTGGATCCTGCGACGCCTGGTCTCCAAGCCCCGCTTTTCTCTTTTCCCCGAGGAAAGTGGGGCGGCGAGGACATGTGGGAGACCAAGTTCTTCACGGACGTGCGGCGCCCCAGGCCGCCCCTCCGGCTCTCACGGCCTCCCAAGGCCTCGGCGCCGATCCTGGGGCTTTGGCCGGTTGGGGTATGTATGGACATGTGGCCATGGGCTTTTCAAGAGCCAAATCGGTTAGCCCCCAGTGAACATCAAAAAATCCAACCACTGAAATAGGTACCAAAATGGGTGCACCTACCACTGGTTTTGACCCCAGCCATGTAGACGACCAGGCTTCCATGGAGAGGAATTTGGACCATGGGACATGGGGTTGATCAATTTCCGTTTGTTCGGCCCCCTGACCATGGGCGAATTTTCCCATTCGACTCTTTTTAGTGGTTTCCCCCAATGTAAAGGACCTCTTTGATCAACCCCCATTTGTTGTTTTCTCACTGCGTTATTTTGACCATTTAAGCTGAAGATGCGGTGCAAGCTGCCAAAAGGCCGGCCGGACGCCAGTCGTTGAGTGACACCACCCAATCTGTCTTTCTCTTTGGTTCACCCACGAAAAGTGTGGGTGGGGGTGGGGGGGGTTGGGATAAATACGGTCACTTCATGGACATCCTTTGCCCAAAGCAAACCTTTAATCGATTTACAAAATTGGCTGCATCACTTGTTTCTCACTGTTTGCACCCGGATATCCGGATCAGTTCTGCGGGGGTTCCCCCGCACATTTTTATGGGCAGGTTGACTTGGCTTGGGTTATCATGAAGGGATACCACTTGCCACCCTACTTGCTGAGTTGGCACAATTCGAACTTTATTTTTTGTCTGTTGGAATGAAATGGAATCCACTTCTGCGATACAACAGAAAGGGCTTCCCAAAGACTAACCCCCGGAATTGGGAGATTCGAGATAAACCCCGGAATCCAACCCTGTGTATGTCCAGCCGGCCAGCCGAAGCACCTTTGAACTTTTTCTGACTCGTCAACTCTGGTCAGTGGCCAAGATGTTATGTGCCTTTGGCAAGGGTTCTTGGATCCCCTGCAAATAACTTTTTGGTTGCACATCTGAAGTGAACCACTTGCAAGGGGTGCCATAATTTTCCAAACCGCCTTTGTAAATATGTTTGAGCCACTCGAAACAACCATGTCCAGCTTTCCCTGGCGCATGTTTTAGTCTTCGGCTTGTGATCCGTCCAGTTCTGTTTCAGGGCTGCCGCTCGCATTTTTGTGCTGTGTGGCTGAACGGGGCTCGGAAGTTCCATCTTCGAGGTCGATTCCCTTCCCAAGTCCCAGAACACGATGACCATTGGCCCGTGGCTTAGAGCGTTGCTAGCTTACGGCGCTAAGCACAGAGGTCCCTATATTTCCTGTTTTGGTAGTTTTACGAGTGTCATTTTTCACGAGTGTCACGCTACGGCTACCCCCTTTGCTGGTGTGCAAGTCGACCGCTCCAAATGTTTTGACCGTGTCGTTCCCGAGATTGCTGCTGAATGTCTTGCTGCGCTGGGTTTTCCTCGGCAGATTCTGCGCCTGTGGACCTCGATGACCAACCAGCTCACGCGCTACCTAACGTGGCAGGGCAGTGTTCATCCTGCCCCCCTCACCAACCGCAATGGTATCCCCCAGGGATGCTCTCTCAGCATTTTGGCCATCAACGGCATTATGGCTGCGTGGTCGCTGGTCGTGCAGCAGGTGCCGGGTGTGCGCCCCTTTGCTTTCATCGATGATACCTATTTGATTACGCAGGAGACCTCGGAGCTTGAGCAGTTGCCGGTTGCCTTTCAGGTGTCTCAGCTTGCTGATGCGGTGCTGGGTCAAATCTCCAACCCGGCCAAGTGTGGGTGGTGGGTCAGCGATGATCGCCATGCCCCACCCTTGGCCCTCGCGTTTGAGGGCATGCCTCGCCTTCAAGTCTTGCGCCCCCTCGGTGTCACTATCCACCTCAACCAGCGTGGTACTCCTGGCTTGAGGGACTCTGCGATTGACCGTTTCCGGGAGGCTATGCGTGCCATTGACACCCTTCCTGTCCCTCCCAAGGTCAAGGCCCGCTATGTCGCTTCTAAGGCCATCTCTGTCCTGGCTTACGCCCCGGAGCTCAACGTTGTCCCGGGGAGGGTGCTGGACACCCTTTGCGCTCGGGTTGCCAAAACTTTGTGGGGCAAACGCCCGCATTGGCGCCACCGTGATCTCCTTCTCACTGTCGTGTATCCTGCCCATCTTGTCCATCCGACTTTTGCGCTGGCCATCCGGGTCATCTCCAATGTGGTTGCTTCCGTGCAACAGGTCCCGGAGTTGTCTCTCTTGTGGTCGTTGGCGTTCACCAATTCCCGCCGCCCTCGTGCTGCTCTCCCGGCCCATTTCGAGCATGCCTGTCGGGTCCTTGGTCTCGGGTTCCAGGCTCCTGATGTTTTGTCTGTCCTCCCGGGCTTGTCCTTTTCCCTCAGGCACACCCCTCGGCGGCTCCTTGTCCGCCTGCTCAGATGGGCGGCCCCCTTGCAGGCTTACCGCCTTGCATGTGCCTCGGATCGGAAGGACATTGTGTGTGGCCCCACCGGGATCCTGGATATCCATGTGACCGCGATCCCTTGGCGTCTTCCTCCGCGCGACGCGTGGCGGGCCTTTGCGCGTGCCTTTCCTCTTGATCCTGTGGTTGCTGAGGCGGTCGTTACTGGGTCCGCCCTCACTGCGGACCGGCTTTTTCGTGCCGGGTTTGCGGACTCTCCTCAGTGTCGCTTTTGCAGCCGGACCATTGAGACTCTGCAGCACCTTGTCGAGTGCCCCAGTGTTGCCTCCTCCCTTGGACACCCGCCCCCCCTTCCGCCTGGACAGGGCCCGGCCTTTGCTACTCATGCCTTGGTCGAGCTCTCTCCTGCCCTGCTCGGATGGCTTGTACATAGGAGTGCCCCTCGCCCACTGTGTCAGGTTCACCAAGCCGCTGTTCCGCGCCATGGCTTCATCGAACTCTGGACGGATGGCTCTGCTTTTGATTGCACCCATCCTCTCTGTGCGGTTACAGCCTATGCGGTTGTCGATGCCGACCGACGCACGCTTGCTGCTGGGGAGGTGCGTGGAGCTTTTGCCAACAACTATGTGGCGGAGGTTGCGGCGATTGTGATCGCCGTGCATGGTGCCGGTTCTTCAGTTTGTGTATATACTGATTGCAACGCTGCAGTGCAGGTGTGGCAGTCCATGCGGATCTCTCGGACGGTCCCTTCGCATGCTGCGGCGGCTGACTTGTGGACAATTTTTTGGGAGGTCATGCACCACAAACAGGCTGCTTTTCCGGAGTTTTCGGTTGAGCTTCAATGGACGCCGGCGCACCAAGACCTGACCCAGCTTCGTGGGCGGGCTCTTCAGCATGCTTTGTGCAATGACGCAGCTGACCGGGCGGCCAAAGCTGTTGCCTCCGGTGTGCAGAGGGTCCCCATGCGCGAGCTCGACACCTTGTTCTATGCGACCTGGAGGAGGCAGAGGTGGCTTCAGCAGCTTTATAGGTTGCTGCCTGAGTGCAGCCCGTTCCATGCGGCCGAGGAGGTCGACCCGGGGCTTGGTCAGTGCGAACCCCCTGCGCGGGCGCCAGCTGCCCGCACGGTCCCGTCGGCGGTTCGGCTCCCCTGGGAGCCGCCTGGTTGGTGGCACTGCGCTCCGAGGCAGTGGGCCGCGGTTCGCGATTTCTTTGCGCAGGCTGAATGGCGGGTTGGTGACTCTGAGTCCATCTCCTTGCACGAGCTCGTCATTTACATGAACCACCGCTTTCCGTTAGCGGTTCACACGCCGGGGCGTGTCACGGTGGTTGCGGCCCAGGTCAAGTGGGCCCGCAAGGCTCTTGGGGTGATCCGTGGGCGGTGCGGTGATCCCTCGCCGGGGCTGTGGAAGCCGTCGCAGCAGCGGAGCTTCGGTGTGTGCTTTCCCAAAGGCATGTTCGCCGGGGCCTCCCTTGTGGTGTCAGGCGGTGAGCGCGAGCTGCTTGCCCAAGCTTTGGCTCGCGTCCATCGCAAGGGGCGGACGCCCCGCGATTGGGACTTTGCCCTTGGCTAACACGGCCAAGGTGTGTTTTGGCCTCGGCGCCGGCAGGCCCGGAGGTCGGCACTCGCTCGACGCGTGCGCCCGTGAGATAAACATCACCTTTTTGGCCCACGAAAGGTGAGTGCCCTTTGTGGGGGTGATGTTTTAAGGGGAACTATAGGGAGCCCTGTGCTATTTGGGCGCATGCTTTTTTTTGCACACGAACCGGGCACCAAGACCAGGCATGTGTCACGCGAACAATCCGTTTCGGCATTTTGTGGGGGTTTCAAAGGAGGACCTTCAAGGGAACCAACATCAAAAGCGGGTGTGTTTTTGAAGGGTACCATTTTTTGGGGCTGGTTAAAAGGGAAACCGTAAGGAAACCAATCATTTTTTGAACCCCCCAATTTACCATATCTCTTATGTCAAAAGCGCCCGCTTGTGGCTTTGCTTTACACCGAAAGGAAGAATCACGGGTTCGGCTCGGGAAGCAACATGCGTGTTGCACGTGGGATAGCGGCATCCTTGTGCTCCCTCCCGCGGTCCCCCTTCCTTAGAGGTCCCGAACAGCGGCGCTTATATTTTTTCTTAGGTTTAAACATCCCCGTATTGGAGAAAAGTTCCTTTCGGATGTGTACAGGGTACATAGGTGTGTATCATTTTTTTGGGGTACCTCCTTTTTTGGTGAGTTTCGAGGAACACCAACTGGAAAAACCGCCAGAATGGGGGGTCTCGTAAAAACAAAGAGGTACAACCATATATCGCATATATGCCTATATATGGTACAGCGTTGCCGGCCCCCCCCCCCCCCCCCCTCCCCTCAATGGTCATGGGTCAGACAAGCACCCCCCCCCTGTGGTTGGGTTGTGGTGGTTCAGGGTTGGTTTAGGGTTGGTTTAGGGTTTGATTTAGGGTGGATTTAGCGTTAGTTTAGGGTTGGTTTAGCGTTGGTTTGTGTTGATTTAGGGTTGGTTTAGGGTTGGTTTAGGGTTGGTTTAGGTTTAGAGGTGTACGGTTTAGGGTTTGGTTTAGGGTGTATTTAGGGTTGGTTTAGGGCTAGTTTAGGGTTGGTTTAGGGTTGGCTTAGGTTTAGGGTTTATTGTTTAGGGATTGGTTTAGGGTGCATTTGGGGTCAGTTTAGGATTGGTTTAGGGCTAGTTTACGGTTGGTTTATGTTGATTTAGGGTTGGTTTAGGTTTAGAGGTCTACGGTTTAGGGTTTGGTTTAGGGGGTATTTAGGGTTCGTTTAGGGTTAGTTTAGGGATGGTTGATGGTTGGTTGCGGGTTGGCTGGGGGTGGAGGTGCCGGGGTGTCGGGGTGCGAGTTCAGGGGGTCGGGGTGGGGGTGGGACCGTAGGTGACAGGATCCGGGGGCTCGGGGTCTCGCGCCGGGGGGGGGGGGGGGTCCTGGGCGACCCATACCATATGGGGGGGAGGGGGTAGCAACACGGAACACGGGACCAGAAATAGCTTGGGCCTAAGGCACTGAAAGTGAGACCCGTGGGCCCCACCGGGAGGTCGGTGGCACGTTTGGGACCAGCAGTTCTTCTGGTTTCCCTAACACCCCTAACGGGCACCAACACAAAAAAGGACAAATGCACATGGCCAGCTAGGTGTTTTTCTTTTCTTTGTGTGTGTAGATTAGCCTTAACTGGTGGTTTGGATTGGTGGGTTGGGGATTTGAACCCCTTGCTTTTTGTTGAAGGTAAGTGGAGGAACCCCTCCATTTCATCACCAAAGTGGTTGATTGAGGCGAGCTTTTGCCGGGCTTCTTTCACTTCTACACCCGCGATTTCGACTGGCGCCACCACGCGGTCTGCATTCGCAAGCGGCCTACCTCAAGAACTCAACAGCCGAAAGAGGGGAGAACCTCCCGGCGAGGGATTGTGGGGAAGTTGGGCTTGAGGTTGCCGCTTTCCGTGATACCACGGGAATTCCCCGTGAAAGAGTGGAGCCATTTCGTTGACCAAAGTTGGTTTGGGGCAAGTTATCGGTCGTGCGGTGGTAAATCGAGCCCATTTACCATGTGCTAGTCTCCGGGATTTTGAGCGGACACGAGCTTTGTGCTTTTTTCACGACACCCAGCTGCTGTGTGTAGCATTCCACTTCGTTAGAATTTGGGAGTAATTTGCTGGCGGAAAGCCAGCAGAACGCTGTCACTTGATCCATTGCCTTGGCGCTAAAAGCGCCCTAAAACACAAGACATGGCTGAAGGAGACCTTTTCCTTTGGTTTCAAGGGATGCTGAGTTCGCTCAGACCTGTGCTTCGAGGTCTGCGCGCGGGTTGGCATGAAGGAGCACGGTCACGAGTGGTAAATATGTTTGCTCTTGGAGGCACCCGGCGCAAGTGGGATATGTCTCATGTAGACAGCCGGCAACTGCAAATGAGAGCGAAACGCAGCATGCGGTCTGACAGGTTGGCGGGTAATGTAAGCCCAGAGGCCTAGAACACAGTTCCTTGGCATGGCCTGGCTTTCACTTTTCTGTTGAACCAATGGCAGCTTCACAATCAAATAATTGTTGGGAGCCGGATGCGATGCACTCGCATGCGTTACAATAGCTTTGGTCGTGTGATGTCTTTTGATTTGTGGAGAACATGGGGCACCACCCAAAGTACCTTCTTTCCAATCATAGAGCTGGACGATCGGAGAGTTTCGGAAGACTACCATCTTCCAAAACCTGATCGTCCACGTTAATTCGAGAAAGGGTCCCCACAACCCGTATGTTTGCAGCTTAGTACCGCTGTGAGAGATCACAGTGGGAAGCGCCTGTGGGGAAGCGCTGCCGTCGAGGATGTCACGCAGTCTTGCCCTTATGCCGGCCAGTCGCGCTTTGCGACTGGTGCGGATTTGGGTCTCTGGGCCCGAGGGGCGCTTAGCCAGCTTGAACTCCAAGTGGAGGCAATGACGATGGAGCCTCATGCGAAGCCAGGAGGGGTGGCGCCTTAGGCAGCGGCTCTGCGCTTCTCACCTAGCGCAGCAGTTCCCACCCAGCGCAGCAGCTTTTGCTCACTCACGAAAGGCCCCCGATTTCCCAAGTCAATCCGTCTTTTTTTGGTTGGGGGGTGCAGGCGTGATCTATGGCTTTGGCAGTTTGAAATGCACCTGTTGTTTCTCTCAGGTTCTTGCCAGGGCTTTCTTTGCGTGGCGCAATAGACCCTCTTCTTGCGCGACACCCGGCTTTTTGCCCCCCCCCCCCCCCCCCCCCCCCGCGCCCCCAATAAAAACACCAAATCCAGATAGACAGCGTGACAACCCTGCCTTTTTCGCTCCCCCCCTCCCCCAAAAAAAAGAGCACTCAAAAAACAACAAGGAAAAGAGAACGCATGGACAGCGTGGCAAAACTCGGATCAACGCCATGATTTTCTCAAGGCTCGGGCCAGAACCGACTCAGGCAAGAACCGGGGAAGCACGTGGACAAGTATTCCCTGCTGCTCGCTGGCCTGACAGGGGGGATGCGATCGGGCGCGGCACGGCGCGGGCTCCCGTGTTTCAGCATCGGAATCTTAGTTGCCCCCTTTCTCAATTCTTGGATTGTTTGCTTGTGTTTGCTTCTTTGCTTCTTTGTGTTTGATTGTTGGTTGTTTTTGTTTGTTTTCTTTGTTGGTCTTTGTGTGTTTGTTTGTGTGCTTGTTTCTTGGCTCGTTTTGTTTGATTGTTGGTGTTGTTGGCTTGGTTTAGTTTGCTGTTGTGTGCGTTGTTTGTTTCGTCTTGCTTTGTTTTGGTGTGCTTTCTCGTGTTTTGTTTTGTTCGTTTGTTGTCTGTTTCCTGAATGGCTACAGGGTCGCTGGCAGGGACTCCCTTCTTCGGCGCCTTTTTCGACCGCCACGAGGCTTCTTCCAACCAATGAAGACCAGTGGTACGTGGAGGATCCTTTCGACCTCAAGCACAACCTGGCTGGCACCTCGAAATGCAAAACAAATCCTCGGAGCCGAGAGGGGAGCTGAAGGGGCCACAAAGGCTCAAAGTACATTGAGGTTGTTGGAGTCCGAGCTGTGGTCCGGTGTGGTTTTGATTCAGAGGGTCCCTGGTCCTGACATGGGCATGGGACAAATTTGTGCGACTCACCGTATTTGGAAACGCTCAGAGTGAGCCCCCCCACGTCCCTTCCAAATGGCCACAACAATTTTGACCGGACCTCGTATTAGCAATGGATGCTAGTACTATGAGTCTAAGGTCTGTTTTGGACAAGAAGTGTGGGCACTCACATACCACGAGAAGCAGGCGCTACCCATCTGAGCAGAGCTTGTTGTAAACGTGGCCCAGAATGTGATGTTCAGAGCACCCAGATGTGAACAGGGACATAATTGGGGAGAGGAACTACTTAGGAAACCAAATCTGTATGTTTGGGGCCAATGTGGGTGTGCCTTTTTTTGAGCGTGCCTTTTTTGGTCGCTTTACAGGGTTGTTTTCCCCAGCAATCACACACACACACACACACCCATGTGAGCCATGAACGATTTGGGCCGGCACTGTTGGATTTTGCAGGGAACGGCTCCCTGCTTGCATGTTTTTTTTTTGTGGAACACAGGGAAACCGGTAACCTGACCAGCACCCCCAACTGCTTCTTCCTGTGTCAAAAATCCCACGACCCGGTTGGGAAGGGGTCTTGGTCCAACTCATTTCGAGGACCATGCCCCAAGCTAAGTCTATTATCTAACTTTCCGTTTTTGTTTGGATCATGTGGCTGTTGGTCAACATAGGGTTACCCCAAAATGGGTTGCCCTGGTAAATGGAAAGGACTAGAACCTGCGGTCCCTGGTGCTTGAATTTTGTCCCATCCCCATGTCGGGCGAGGCAAGTGCAGCCGAGCTGGCAAGAAGCGCATCATGGACGAGATGGCCAACGCCCTCTCGGTGTCGCGCGGCATACGCGGCGCGCGGCATACGCGGCGCGCGAAAGGGGCGGGATGGGACACCTCCCTAAGGGCGGGGCTGGGGGCGCTTTTTCTTGGTTTGTGGGGTGGTGTAAAACCAAGTTAGGTCATGGTCATAAGGAGCTAAGTAATGCCTTCTACAAGAAAGAGCGAAATCATTCGAATTGGTCTGTGGGGGTACTTCAAATCAAATTAAGCCGTAGTCATGTACGAACATCGGCCCCGTACACTATGCCAAGACGGGGCAGGCGGGGGGTGTAGGAGGGGGGGTGTCAACCGAACGAATGTTTCAAGGCCTCTTGACAGTTTCAAGCGATCGTCAGTTCTTGTTGTTGGGTCGGAAACAACAAGTCTCAAACTGCGGAAAGGAGTTGAGGATGTTAAGGATTGGTTTTTGGCTTCCTCTTGGACAAGGCAATGGGTGGGGTGGCAGCGAGCGTCTCCTGAATGCCTTGTAGGTTTGAGTTAAACCAGCGGGGGTGGGGGGGGGGTGAAGGAGAACGGCTCTATATAAAGTTTGATCCCATCTTCGTTTTCACATCACCAATCCAAATATTAATATAAGAATTATGTTGGATCCAATAGATTATTAGCTGATAAAAGACTTTCCTGCATCATATTGTATCTCCTGGATTCTAGATTATAAAAATAAAGAGACAAATAAAAGTGTCTTAATTCTAAGTCTTGATGACACGGGACATAGATGAATAACTGCTTTTATAGAAGGGTTCTTTCTCTCTACATCTCATCCAAGATCCACATTTTGTCTTTTCTTTATGATCATATATGTCTGTTCTTTTTATTTGGGTTTATTATTTTATCGTTATCTTCGTATCTGTTCTCTGAAGAGGAGGTTTGTTGGAAGTCAAGAATAGAGGAAGTGCTGCTAGAGCGGCCTAACGCGAGGAATTAGTGAGTAGCATTGTCTTTCTGATTGTTCGGAAGCTATATGGGGGTGTTGTTTTCGAGAGAACCCCTTTTTGGTGGTTTTAAAGGGGAAACGAGAAGAACAACTTGTTCGCTTTTTCTTGTTGTTTTGTTTTGGGGGTCCCCTAAAAACAGACATACCCATATAACTTCCTTTTCTTTTTTTGGGAGGGCATGCTTGTGGTGTCGTTCCGCTGGCCATTTGAGTCGTGTGGAGTTACCGTTGGTTTTCCTGGAAGAAATGCCCACTAAAAAGGGTACCCCTCTCAGAAGCAAGTGAACATCCCTGCGCCACGGTTGATTGAAATGTCCTGCACCGCAAAGGGAATCATAGAAACCAGCTACAGGAACTTCTACCGGAAGTTGGCCAAATACCCACCAAAATCAGGGGTTTCCTATAGAATTTCCTGTAGGTTTCTTGGAGGGAACGATCTTGGGCAAATCCAGACTCGAAAAAAAGCACCGGGCCCGCGGTTAACGTTCCAATGTCGATCCGCGGCTCGAAGCCTGGACAATCCTCTTGCCATAAATAGCTGTTCCACGCAAAGGGCCCCCTGCCGCCAATGGGCACAGGAAACGGCAATCAAACACAAAGCTGGACGGCCGGCCGAAGATCATCACCCATCATTTGGCTGTGGCTCAAACAAATGTACCAAAATGGCACCAAAAGGTAAATGGAACCAAAGACTAAAACCCGCGGTTTGCCCCAGCTCCTTAATTTTGAGCCACACCCAAATAGGCGCGGATATCCCTTCAAATTGGCCATGAGTTTTGGGTTCCTCCACCATGTTGATAACTCACTCGAAGTCTCCCCCCAACCAAATTCATCAAGAACGGGATGCCGCCGGTGTCTGTTTCTGGGAACCATGCTTGAAGCTTGGCTCCAAAGAAGGGAACCATTTCCGATCCAAAGTGTTGGCGACCCTGAGCTGACGACCTCGGGTTGAGGCAAACATGGACAAATTCGACACTGGCTTTCTTCCCCTGCAAATGGCCGTGGCTCCAAAAACCGGTACCAAAATGGAACCCTGGCAAGTGGAAACATGGACCACAACCTGCGTAACCCCCCCTGTTTAATTTTGAGCCACACCCAAATGAATGTAACACCTATATTGCAAGAGGATTTTCCTCAAGCAACAAGTGTAGCGTTTTGTTGTGGGGGATGTCTATGCTAAGTTATGTTGCAAATGGCTGGTTGGCCTGGGCTAGCCTTCCACACTGTGAGCCATAGCTGACACATGCGATGTTCTGCCTGATTTGTTGATTGGCATGGCACCGGTCCGCAAGTGGCAACAGGATTGCTATTTGAAGACTATCGACTGCAACTATTGGGGAACCTGTTTTTTTGGGGTTAGCACATCTCTTTAGAAGCCATGGGCATTTCGAGGCGAGGTCAGTTGAATCCCTCTCTGCCCAAACTTTGGCTCAAGGGCAAAAGGACTGGGGCTTGCAGTTCAGGCGCCTTTTTGAAGTATCTCGATGTGGGTCAACACCAATGGGATCCCATTTTGGGGTAGGTGAATTCACCACCCATTTTAGACCTATTTAAGTGGGGATTGGGATGCTCACTGGGGGGTAACCGGGCTTTTGACCCATGGCCATTTGGATGTCTCGGTGTTTGAGGGTGCATCAGGTCGAATGGAAGAGACTGGGCTGAAGGTTGTTTTCTGGGCCAAGGGAATCTTTCTTGAAAGGACGAAGGAGTCACAGACATTCTGGGGGTACCTTCTCCATTCCTTCCAGGGATCCTTCTTCCTAAAAAACCTCCGGAAACCCCGGGAAAACGCCCGGTTTTTGGAAAGAACGATGGTTGAAAAGAATGGACAAGGAATCAAACTCAAAAAGCATGGCTCACTTTGGTACCACTTTGGAGCTGCTTCCCACCATGACGCTTTGCTTCTCTCAGGCTGCAGAAGCAAGGCGTATGGTCCAAGTGCCTCCCCGCCAAACCCAGCCCGAAGCCAAGTTCGCCGCCTTCGAGATGGGAAGAACCCCACCGGTTTTCGCATGGCAACAAATCCAAAAAAGACAAAGCTTTGGTGCATTTTGCCAAGGGATGTTAGGACTTTAACTGTTTGCCAACTCATGGGGTCTCCATGAAACCACTAAAAGTGAAACTTTTAGCAGGGGAGCAGAAAGCAACGGAGAAAGGATTTGTTTGTACAATGAAGCGACTGGAATGATATGGCCAATGAGAGATTGTCCCACGGACTTTCACCTGGGTTCTGCAACCGCAGGCTGCCGCTGGCTTTTTGGGGCTGATCTTTCAGAATAGACCGGGAAAGCTTCCTCGTTTCTTTTGTTTGGGGAGGGGGAGTGGGGATGGGCCATTCTGCGCCATTCATTTCAAACAGGATATGGGCCAAGACTAGTTCCGGGCATATCTTCTATAATAGCGTCGCAAAATATACAGCTAGGGCGCCATGGGGTCCAAAATTGAGGACTGATCTTTTCAACAGTCATTCGGGTGCCTAGTAGCGAATGCTTGTTGTTCCTCTCCGAAAACAATAGCTTTGACACTTGGTCACGGATCCCTGAATTGGGGAACGGCTGAAAATAGATGGCAAGGCGTGGCCTATCCTTTTGCAGCGGCACACAAGCTCATCTAAGCGGATCCTAGGGACTCTGCAAGTATCCCTTCATTCTGGTTGGTGAATTCGTGCAGCAGGAACACTAGCTTCCCTTGGCAAAGATTGCCGACCCTCAAAAACAGTTCCTCGGTCTGTTGGGCTGATTTCCATCCAGAAGCCTGTGGCTGTACATGCTAAGACTGCCACCTGAGATGGCTCATCTCACATCTCTTTCCGACTGCCGGTTAGCAAAAACGTGGATACTGCGGTGTAACGAAGACAGAGATGCACCCTCCGTTCTTTATTCGTCCCTTCTTTACTAGTAATTACCTGTGTGGGACGGAATGGAGGATAGCGATGCATGAATGGGTAGATAGTGGCGGTTAGAAATGGATAAGTGGCGGCCAACCCATTCATATTCCTTCGTCCCTTAACCCATCCCTGATGCACGGCCTGGCTTAGAGATGTGCCGATCCATCTCTTATCGTCTTCTGACCTGGCCTTTCCCCAATCTCTAAGTGGGAGATGATGAAGAGATGTGCCATTCCTGCCATGCTCTTCTCCAAATCTCTATGCCAGAGCTTGTAAAGAGGAATTTCAGTAGAAAGGAAAGCCCGCGACTTCAGATCCCTTTCAACGCGGGGTAAACAGCAATAAACAAGAAAGTCTCTGAGTGTTTTGCTGAGTGAACTAGCGAAGTCGGTTTCATGGTTTGGAAACCTCCAAAAGGCCGCCCCGTTTTGACGCCCCAGCCATTTGACGTACTTCTGTCAGGGGGCCCCTGTCAGGTTCCACGTGAATTGGTGGGAGGGTATATGGCTGTGGCTCAAAATTCAAGAGCTAGGGCAAACCGCGGGTTTTAGTTTTTGGTTCCATCTACCAAGGTGTCATGTTGGTACATTTATTTGAGCCACGGCCATATTTTCCCGTTTCCCGTCCGTGCGCAAAATGACCGCCCGGCGCCATGGCCCTTTTTGGTCGCCCCGCGACTTCCGAGGCTCGGACTTCTACATGAAGTGCCGCATTAGCCAGGCGTGGGGCGTCGCGCGTGGGGCGAGCGGCGTGGCCGGTGGGTCCTGTTCAGATCCGAACCCAAGGGGGTAACCTGGGAAGCTGTGTGATGTTTTTTTTCAGCGCACGGGTGAAGAGAATGGGGAGTCAACCATTCGAAGTTGGAAGATTTGGTCGGACGAAAGACAGTAAAGAACACACATGGTTTGTTTGGTACTAGGTGTTTTCATGCCTTCCATTCTGAAGGCAGACCATGAGAGGGACTCTTGGTTAAATTATACCTTGGTCTTCCAAGGACCCGCAAAACCAGGGTCCTTATTGGCTTTGATCTTGGCCCCTAATGGCATTTGGAAATTCGGCCAAAGGCCTGCTTTTCCAGGAGATCAAGGGAAAGGAGCAGGCACCTCCCACATCCAACCCAAGCAGAAACTGACGAGTTGCGTCGGGCAGAAGGGCCTTGTCCGCAAGGCTCAACCGCTTGGGTTTGTCCCAACGACAGTTGAAACGGGTACCATGAAGGATTCCCCAAGCGAAAGGGCACCTTCAACGGTTTCCCTCAACTCCAACAGGGATCGGGTTCCTCTAAAGCAACCGGCAACGGCTTCTTCTCAACACTTTCCCTTGCAAACTCCCGCCATGTCAATTGTGTTTGTTTTATTATTATTTTTTGAACGGTGTCCCTTTAAAACCACTGCCAACATGGGTTTTGCTCGACCATCCACAAACGTGGTTCCCTCCGGTTTTTTCTTGACTAGGTTTGGCATGCTGATTTCCCCTGAGTACTTACTATAGCGGGAGCTGTCTGGATCGCCTGTTGCACTTTTGTTTGTCTTCTTTCACAGCTGTAACGGTCTCTCGGGTACAGGGTCTAGAAAAGAGCAACTTGGCTGCCTCCGTGGATTCACTGGGCAACAGGTTCAAACCCCCTTCAACCCAGCTGGGTTTGTCTTTCATGGGGGGGAACCAATTTGGTGATGGCTTTTTAACGGCTAGGTCCCCCAGTAGTGCCCTTTCTCACCTTTTTTGGAGAGGGTTCCCCTACTAAAATAGACAAACAAGTAAACAAGTTGGTACCAACTTATTCTAACCTCTCAAATCTGGAGGACCTAGAAGGGAAGCCAACAGGCCAACCACCATTTCGGGGGTTCCTCCGAAAAGAAGACACCCCTCAGGGAAACCAACTAGCAGGGATACAGGGGGAACCAGGGATACGCGAGGATTCCCCCTAAATGCACCTTGACTAAGTTTGATATGGGAAATGGCGCCAAGGGAATCCCCCCACATCCCCGCTCCCTCGTATCCCCGCTTGTTCGTTTGTCCAACCCCCCACAGCTGGGCTGTCGCCTTGGCTCGCGCAGAGCGTGACGCCTCCTGACATACTGGAAGCCTTCGAGGAGTTCGATCTGGTACCTCTGCTTGGGGAGACTCAAAGCTTTGCTTTTGGCAGAATGGGCGTGTCTTAATCCTTAAATGGGGGAAGTCCTTAAAAGATGTGATGGGTGTGTCTTGAACTGGCGGAACTCCCAAAATGGATTTCGGTTTGCCTTCTGCATTCCACATATGCGCCACACTTTATAGGTACAACATATTCTCCAAATCCTCCAAACTAGCAGACATTGCTGAAAGAAGAGCATAAGAAAGACATGTACTGTGAGACTTGTATTATGGATGTGTTTGTGTGTCTTGAAATATAGTCCTTTTTTCTGAGATCAGTACAGTTCTATTCTTATAAGTGCTGATATTAATGTACTGGAGACTCCAGAAACGAATCCAGACAATACATAACATACTTCTCAGCCTTTATGATTGCAGTTGTGATAGTGACTTTCAACTAATCGACGTTTACGTTTCAATAGCTAGATGTCTTGATGTGTATTGTTGATTGAGAAGGAGAATCCTGACCGTCAATAGAACCGTTGCCACATGGTCGTGGTATTTACATCATCTCCATGAGCATCGTGCATCATGTAGTTTGCATATGTCTAGACCCTGGGAGGGCCATATCGAGTGCTTCATGTGTCTATAGTCCAAGCATGGTTTTCTTGAGACTAGTGTTTACGTAGTCTGCATAACAGCGGCAAGTGGGGGCTATGTTTTTGCGCATGGGCAAAAGAGTGCATGGGGAGTTGCAGCAGTTACACATTCATCATCCCCCCCCCCCCCAAACGATCTTTGGTATAATCTTCTTGTGGAGGACACCATCTCTCTTTGGAAATTCCGGAGCGGCCTGAGATGGCCTTTGCAAGGAAATCAAAGGACACAGCTTGCAGTCTCAGAAACTTTTGGCCTGATGGGAAAAAACACATTTCGAATCAGTCGGGATGATCAACCACTCAGAATGCTGAACCACCCATCAGCTGATTCAGGAGTTTGTCCATCCGCGGTATTTCAGGCATCGCTTTGGGATCGTGCCCATAGGTCCTTGTTGGTTGTTTTGGTAGAAAAATCGATGGCCCTGGTTTACCTGGTGGTTTAATCATCTACCAGGGCAATCTATTTCCCCTAAAAGGACACCTATGATCGTGCCCCTTGCTCCTAGGTGAGGGCAGACGGACTTTGAATCAACGCCCCCATGAAGAATCCGTTGGAGCACTTAAGGGCAGAAAAGAATAGGTGCCCTTGGATTAGTTGAGGCCCACAACCCCCCGGCAATGCTGGGCAAGTGGGCAACGCCGCTAGATAATCAACATGCCAAAAGTCCGGTCAGCCCTCTGGACGCGAACGCCACCTTGTTTGGATGGCCGCTTTGGTCTTTGCTTGGCTCAGGTAACCCTTATTTGGTGCCTGGATTGTTTGGAGATTTGAACCCCTGGTTCTTGCAGATGGAAATTGAGACCCCCCCACCGGACTCCAAAGCTCCGGACAAATCGGGGGGAAGCGGATTTGGAAACAGTTTCAGGCGTTGCACCTGACACGGTTTCCGCATCGATCCGACGCGGCGAGGTAAAGCTGCACTTCCCGAAATCCGAGACGTCTCGCCACCTGGCAAGGGCTGGCTGCCGCCCAGTGTGTCGGTTTTGTTAGGGGACCCCAACATATGGGGGAGAGGTTGGTTTCCCTTCAACAAAAAACAACAATTGTACGGGAATTGTGGGAAGCGCGGTTTGCCTTGAACACCACCAAAAAAGGTACCCTCAAAAAGGCACTCCCGTCTGCTCGAAGATATTGTTTAATTATTTCAAAGGGAATCTATCACTACTGGACATATTTGTTTTGCAGGAGGAAACCAGACCCTGGAAACGAAAAGGAGGTTGTTTAAACAGACAATTTTGGCCCAGCCCAGCGTTCCTGAGATGGATCTAATGGAAAAACAAGAGAAATCGGAAAAGTGTTTCTTCTTGTACAGTCTGTATGACATTTATTGAACGACCACACGATTTTTCAATTTGTCCACACCGCTTTATTGTTATTGTGTAAATTTGTTCAAATGGGGTTTACACACCTGGTAATCCTCGGGAAGACACATTGGTGTGCCATCCATTTACCAGGGGAACCCATCATTCTAACTAAAAGGTCACCTATGGCAGTGGGCAATTCGGGTCTCGGATGCCTGTGAGAAAACCTTTAGAATGTTGCGCGCTCATGGTGTAAAGTATTCCTTTCATTCTGGCGAATGCACTGATGTGAACCATGGACCTGGGGCGACAGTTTAGTTTTTGTAGATATGATTAGGTCGGGCACTAGATCCAGCAAGGGCGTCGATGTGCACGAACAACTTGTGCTTGTGATTTAAAGAATCAAAGCTTGTGGAGCTGGATCCAAGATCCAAGATTGCAAAGAAAGCTTCGCAGGGAATCTTGGATCCTGGCTACCCCCCCCCCCCCCAAGCACTTTAAAGTTTGTCCAACAAGGTTCACAGTTTTTGTTGTGCTGGATCCAAGATCCAAGCTCCAAGATGGCACAGAAAATTGTTTAGGGAATCTTGGATACATGGCTAGACCCACACAGCTTTAAAGCCTTCCTCAGAATGTGTTGTTTTGTGCTGGACCCAAGATCCAAGATTGCACAGAAAACTTTCAGGGAGCCATGACATGCACTATCCGTTTTGGGCCCTGTTTTGAGGGGTGTCCCGCAAAATATTATGTTGACTCCAATTTCAACTAGCCGTTTCAATGGTTGTGTTCTCCGAATTAGACATGCGACATATAGACGGAAAGAAGTAGATCAGCAACACGTAATTTAGATACGATGTGCTTTCCAAAGTTGATGTTAACACGTATTTGAATTAGAACGCAAGTGGAATTATACATATGTATATATATTTACATGCAAACACATTTTTAAGAATGTGGATGAACATACGGAAGGACATGGAGCACTTTTTCAATTGAACCGGTTTTCAATTTCAAATGGCGATTTTGATAGGAACGAACTCCTGTCCAATCGCGATCGGAAATGGGACCTAACTAGAGTTTACGTGCAATCATGCAACCAAATGGAACATTGTTAAACTTGAATTAGCAATCAGTTTCAAGGTGTTCTTGAAAGTAATTTAAGAGAATGGAGTTATGCAAGGCCGTGGAATCCGTTCGAACAATGTTTTGGGTTTGATAGAATGTGACATAGGAAGTGTATTTTAATGTTAAGCTTGATTATAATTTACATGGACCTAGAAAGGACGTCAATTCCTTTGACACTGAGTTGGAAATTAATCTCAAGGAGCATGTTGTTTCTCCGACCTTGAGTTTAATTGTGTATCTTTTTGTGGTCTGGATTGTCTCGTCTGAAACTGACCCAAACCAAACGCAGGTCCATGCGTGGGCGGGGGCACAATATGTATATATATATATATATACATGTATGTATACATATAAATATACGCACGTAATGTTTTGTTCTAGTTGGTAGCAATTGTAATATGATTGCTTTTGTTTGCATAGTAAATGAGGCACCGAATCAGAATGTGACTTGGTGAACTGTAGTAATTTGTCAAGATCCTCCTTTAGACTACCCCAGCATCCAATCGCAGCCATGTCTTGCAACCCATTTATCTTTCGTGAAGGACCTTTTTTGGGTTGATTCAAAAGGACAACCAAGAGGAAACCCACGAATTTGGGGTGGATCCCCCTTAAAAAAAGACGCACCACAAGAAACAAACAACAACTCGCTTCGACGTGAATTTTCCGGGGCATCGGACTTGCTGCCGGCAGGCATGCCGCAAGCCTTCCTTCAGTTCGGGGACGCGAGCTCGCGGCGCCGGGCGCACACCAAGAACGAGACGCAGCCCGGCGAGCGCTGAATGGGACTTGTCGCGGAGGTCCCAGCGATGCATCCGGTTCACAAGGCTTAGATCGATCGTTTCCAGCCAGTGGGTTGGGGAGCAGGTCAATAAACGGAGCATAATGTTGACCCCAGATTCGTCAACCCGGTGTTCCCTTCCTGGTCCGACTCCACAGTAAAGCCAGGGACACCCCCCTGGGAATAGACTGGTTGGTTGATCAATATGGGGTCAACATTCTGGTTGCGTTGAATTTGGTTTCCTCATCAAGGAAAGTTGGATTCTCCCTCATCTGATTTTCTTTGTTTCAAATCTGTTGAGATCTTTCCGCATTTTGTTGGTTGTTTTTCTTGTTTTACCAGGTTGTTGGGAGGACTGGCTTTATGGACTTGAATAAGCTTGAAAGTTGAAGGGGAAGACCCGGTTTATGTCGGGGCTTTGGCCATTAACTTTAGACAGAAACATATTGTTTGGGTGCTAAATGGCACGCATATTCGAATCTTGGCTGGGGAACCGAATAAGGATGGCCACGTTTCCCATTGTTCCAACCTCCGATTTTCGCACCCAGCAAAAATCGTGGTGCCGAAAACGCCAATGGCCGTTGGACGTGGTAAACAAAGGGCGTGATTGACACCAGAAAAGCTTGGCGGTCTTTCTGGCCAGGGATCTGTTTGATGCCTCTCAAAACAGGCTTTCTGTTGCAGGACATAAATGTTTGTGGAAAGTGGAACCCACGGATTTTGTTGTTGCATCTTTCAAGGGTGATCTTTGGGCCTGGTCTGGCACTAAACGGAATGCTGACAGATGGATGTGCTTTGGCTCTTACCTCACTTCGTGTGTTACTCCAACTTTCTACCCTGCCAGGGTCATGAGAGCAAGGCCGTGTGTGAAAAAGAATCTCAGATGGCAGACAGCCACCATTAGGCGCATTCGCATGAGGTGTGGTCGAAACGTCCGGATGTTTATTTTTAGCTTTGGGGTTCGGGACCTTGGGAGCCAACAACAGGGTGACCTGCGGTATGTGCCACGGTCAAAGAACCTTTTTTCGTTGGGGTCAGTCGGGGATGCTCATTGCCTTGCGGCCTTTGTGACCCCAACAGTCGTCAGCCTCAACTTGCACAGGTGACTTTGATTTGCTTGTTTACATGATGGGAATGCTTCCCTTGATTGAGAACACAACTCACAAGTCATGTTGCAACGAGCTTCCCTATGACTCGGCTGGGTTTTGTAAGTGCTGAGAACTGCCCGTTTCCAAGCTGGTTTGGCTCAAGGTTCGTCCGAAATCGGCAACACAAGTTGGCTGCTATCCTTTTGGCTGCCCGCGGCAAAAGGAAAACAACCACCTACACAGGTTCCTTATTGTTTCTTTTTGGTTTGCCTTCGACACACCATCCACAGTTGTTGTCTTTCTTGATTCCCTTCGACACATCCACATCGGATTTTGGTTTGACAGAAGCTTTTCATGGCTTTCTTCGGGTTTTTCGTGTTTCCTTTTCCGGTGCGCCCAATTTTCTGGCACCGCGTTGGGCTCAATCCCATGGTGCAAGCTCACAAGCGCCCGGCAAGTGCAGCCAAGCCGGTGAGCAAAGACGGGGCCTCGAGCTCTTGCCTCACGAGGCTTCGGGCGCCGGGGAGTCGCAGTGGGCCGCGGCACGAAACGGCGCGCCGATTTTTTCTCAGAGGTGACTTGGGGACTTGGTGGCTGGCGGTTCATCCGGTCCCTGAGCTGTTTGGACATCTTTTTGGTTGGCTCGGTGGTTGGGTTTCCGAACTCAACCCTCTAAAGGCTAAGCTTTTCGCGGGGCATCTGAGGACAGCCCAGTTTTGAAACTGGGTTTGGGGCGCTTGGCTCATCCACCCCGGCAGTGAGTGGGGAAAGAGGGTGCGCTTGCGAGCGCACCCAGAGGACAGTCGTCTTCAAAACATCCTCGTGTCTTCCTCGGTTGGTGGGTAGATGCAGTTCCCATCCGTGGCAGCTCAGGCGATCACCTTGGGTGCCAGGTCGATACGTTGCAAACGAGGTCCATTCACCCCTCCCAGATAAATTCAATTTCTCAAACCGAATAAGCGGAGAAGGCGGTGCTAAAGGGCTAACTTCCATTTGCTGAAGAATTGTAAACGCTGTGCGTTGCCCGCCTCAGCCCAGCCGAGCGCGCAGCGTCTGTGGTTCGACTGCAAGCAGCAGAGATGGTCAAGTGGCGATTCAGGCATGGACAGGTTCTGGCGTCGTTGGACGAATTGATGTCATGGGCCCGCAGGAATCCCCGAGGCAAGGGCAAGGCGATGCACAGCCAGGAGTGAGCTGGGCCTTGCTGGGGTTGGTTGGTGGAGGGCCTGGGCTGGGCTGGGATGAGCTTGCTTGGGTGGTTGCTGGTTGGCTGGGAGTTTCAGGAGGGCTGGGCAGGCTAGTCTCAGACATGTGAGTCTAGTCTCAGACACGCGTGTCCCTGGCTTGGGTGGCTGGTTGGGCTGGGCGTGGGTGGGTTGCTGGTTGGGGTCTCAAAGCCCCTTCTGTCCGCTTCTTTTGGAGGATGACGGAAGCCTCGCTCTTGGTAAGGGTTTTGGCCCACAGCCATGTGACCGTTTTCCTAAGCAGACTTGAAGCCGTAGGCTCCACAAGACCTACAAAGGTCTGGAAGACATTCATCTCCCTCTTTTCCGCGAGGTGCAGAAACGGATCAAGGCACCGGGATTGAACAACTGCCACTACATGGAAAGAAATATACTTTTGCTTATTGTGGTTTAGTGGGAAATCCCCACTTAACTGCTAAAATTTAAATTGTTGCTCCCCTTCCAATGTCAACCAAGACTACCAAGCCTGAGTCGCCCCTCAAACAAAACAGAAGGTGGCGTCTGAAAACAGTCTGGTGGTAGCCATGGTTTGAGTTCATCGACTTGGCCAACCCTGGAAGGCCCAAAAAGTCCTATACCCGGGCTGCCACTGGCATTTGCAAGCCTCCCTGGTGTTTCCGGACGTGACCTACGTGGACTTCAACGGGAAGGCGGCGATGTTTGTGGAATCCATGTATTGAAGGAGGTAGACTTAAACCCACTGCACCAGAAGGGCAACTTTGGTGAGGGTGGGGGGTTGAGCTCCTTTTTTCGGACACTTTGCCACCCTCCCCTGCCCCTCCCTCCCCTCCCCCCTCCTCCCTCCCCCGGCCCTCCCTCCTCCCCTCCCCACCCCAGCCCAAGGGTGGTGGCATTCCAAGGTGGGGCCTTTCTTCGAGGACCCGGCGGTTTTAGCCTGGGTCGACACGCACAAGGCGCCGAACACCGGAACCCAACGTTGACCAGTTGCTAACCTTTTTCCCAGTTTTAGTGGGGAAAAACACATTTTTTGTTGGTGCTTTGCATGCCTTTTTCATTCTTTTTGGTGGTTTGCATGAGGGTCATCCCATGGTAAAGGACTTTTTTGATCAGCCCCCCACCTTTTTCCCATATAGGTGTGTCTTAAAATAGGGGCACCCTAAAAGGTGGATTTCCTTTTGGTTTCCCGTTTTAGCCAAAGCAAAGGCCTCAAAGAAATATGCAGCCATAGGAGTTGTGCCACTTTCACCCTCCCCAAACAACGATGGGCCCCAGAAAGGCGGTACCATGATTAAAAGGAGTATGCTGGTTTTGGTTCCCTTGAAACCCAACCCAAGGCGTACTCCAGCTGGGGTAACTCTGAATTTTTTGATTCACCCAACAAGGCGACTCGAAAGTGGCAATAGGTTTCCTTCCTTTTTTTGGTTCAATGTGTTCTTTGAACCTGCATGGCAAGAGGCGTGGATCTCCTCTTGGCGTGTCTTTGAAACCAAGAGCCTCATATAATTTTTTGTGGGAGGGAGCTGTTCCTCCGGCACCGGGGGAAATATGCTTGGGCAAGAGGATCTTTTCGGGAAACCATCCAAGAACCCAGGGAAACAGCGATCGGTTTGTGAAAAGAAGGATGGTTGAAAAGAATGGAAAAGGAATCAACCCCTAGAAGTTTCTGTTCATGGGGGCTGGGGGGGAGGGAGGGGAGGGGGAGGGAGGACAAATAAGCCCGTGTTAGGCCTTATTTAGGGCATATTTGGGCTCCCTTTTTCCCAGCCCCCATGAAATCTGCTTGGGCCAAAATTCGAGCTCCCGGACTTCAGGCGTACAAGTGCAAAGCGAAGATTGAGTTCCTTCATCGGGATTTCCAGAAGCTGGAGATCCCTCCACCGGATCTGCTCATCTCCATGAGCGCCGGCATCGTGTCGAAGCCCTGCGGCCATTTGCTGCGGAAAGGCCACGCCAGCACTTGGTGCCCGACCTCTCACCCGTTTCTTTTTGGGTTGGGAGGGTTCCCCTACTAAAATAGACTACGGAAAAAAGGTGGTACCCTTATTCTAACCTCTCCACTGGAGGACCTAGCACCAATTATGTGGCACCATGGGGAACTCAACAAATGGGGGACTCTTTAAATAGGGGACACCTTTAAATAGGACACCTTTAAATAGCACTACTACAGGAAACCTTCGCATCTGCTGGGGTCCCCTTGAAGACTCACATCCGTACGGCAACTGGTCCCCCAACGTACAGGCGGGCACTTTCTGGCTTCCGACGCCCACTTTGATGCCCGGCTGGCGCACTTGGATGCGCGCTTCGAGCTGGTGGGAGTCTATGACATGGAGAAGCAGACCGTTTCGGCAAAAGTGGGGACTCTTTCAGGGTCTATATGGCCATGGGAAACGCATAACCTATGGATTTCTGCATTTTGGGGTGGATGAACATCCATTTGCCACCTATTTCTATTTTGATGTTCACCAGGGGTACAGGGTTTTGACCCACAGCCACATGATTTGAATGATGTGGTGGGGTTGTGCGGTACTCTTACCCCAGCTTAGAGCATCATGGTTTTCCTATAGGCACCAACAAAAGTAGTCTGTGCAGGAGGGCAAAGATCATCCCAGGTTTGGCATTTGTCTTTCTTTCTTTCTTTCTTTCTTGCTTTCTTTCTTTCTTTCTGTCTTTCTTTCTTTCTTTCTTTCTTTCTTTCGTTCTTTCGTTCTTTCTTTCTTTCTTCCTTTCTTCCTTTCTTCCTTTCTTCCTTTCTTCCTTTCTTCCTTTCTTTCTTTCTTTCTTTCTTTCTTTCTTTCTTTCTTTCTTTCTTTCTTTCGATCGTTTTTCTCGTGGCCGCAGGAAGTTGCTGATGGACGACAAGACCCTGGGCTCCTGTTTCGTGACCACGAAGGGCGCGAAGATCACGGCGGAGCAGGTGCGCACCAGCATGACCAAGCCGAAGGGCCGGCGGGGCTTCACGCTGCAGCGCGAGGACATGTTTTACCTCTTCAAGCGGCGCTGAGGAGAACAAAAAGCGCGGAGGGTTTGAAGAGTTAAAAGGGAGTGTTTCAAAATGGGGACCCCAAAACCCGCCCCCCCCCCCCCCCCACCCCCCGCCCTGTTGACGGGTTTGAAGGCAACAATCAACACCTGGAGGGGGCCGTGGTTTTGAACAACATGGGTTTTAGCTTGCCACTTTCTACCACCCAGGACTCCCCGTAAAGCATGGCTTCCCAAGAGATTTGGTTCAACCGGGTGGGTGGGTGTGCGTTCTTTTGAGGGTGCTCTTTTACCTTGGCTGAAAGGGGACCAACAGAAGCCACCATTTGAAAAGAGCTCCTAACTATATAACCACATGCCCAAACGGACCTGGCCCCTAAAAGTACGAAGCCCTGCAGAGAATTGCGGATTCCTCCCGGGCTTCAAACGCGCTAATGGCATTAAACGTGCGGTGTTCCTGCTTGTTTTCCCTGTAGAACGACATCCAAGCGGGTCAATCCAAATGGATTCTAGATTCCTTTCAACGGATCGTTCTTTTCAAGAACCGGCCATTTGCCCAGGCTTAAAGCGGCGGTTTTCTAGAAATGCTCCACGAGCTCGCGGGGACCCCTGGACTGGTCCGTTTAACACCAGGGCCCAATCCACAGCCATCAGCGAAAAGGCCGGGGTCGCAAACGGTGATGGTGAAAACAACCCCTGAGGGCCCCGGAAGAAATCCTCCGGCCAATCTCGAAAGGGATGCGAGTGGAGAGGCGCGGGCTGACTTCAAAGGGCCCCTATCTCATATTCTTACACCAGCTTCCACAGGAAGGGATTGAAGGAAGGGAATGAAAGCAGGATGACTATCGCTATGTCATATCTCTGTCCGCTTTCATAGTGATCCGAGACGACTCCGATTCATCTCGGTCGAGTCGAATCAAAACGCGCTAAAGCTCGAGCGAGGTATATCGTGGATTGCAAGGTGCAGCTGCACTACAGCCGCTGGGCCTGACAGAAACTGCCGCTTTGGAGATGGCCGTGGGCTTTTCAAAACCCAAATCGGTGAGCCCCCAGTGAACATCCGATTCAATCCAACCACTAAAACAGGTTCTAGAATGGGTGGTGAATTCACC